ATCGATTTTGAAAATGAACTTTGTGACAAAGTCCGTGAGTCCAATTTCCTATCTTATTCACTCCCCCACGAATTATAGCCTTGCAAACATCTTTGACTTCTCGATGCACTACATCATTAACCCACAGCTTCGATTTAAGTGCGTACAATATAATTAACGTACGCGTCCATCAAGGTCACGATTTGAAACGACCTCATTCTTCTTCAATCTTCAGTCGGTGGTAAATCTAGAATGTCTACCGACCTATATAAATCCTTGCAATTTGTGGTACCGGGAATATCCAGTATCGCTTTGAATGTATCGAAATAAAGTACTGTCACTACGTGTTCTGGTAAGGAGTTCTAGAAGTTTAGTACTAGGTGGAGGCAACGAAACTCCAGAAGAAAACGACTTGGTCCGAGTTTCTGAACTTTCTTGGAATGTCCTCTCGGACGAACAACCTGAAATGGAAAAATGCTGGGATATATTAACACCGAAATCATCGTTCAATATATATTACCGTATATACGGTAACCCAGTGTTAATCCAGCCCGAAACCTGAGGTAATGTCTATCTTTTTTCATAAGGTAAACCAGAGAGACTTTTCACAATTTCAGTCCACCGTATTTGAACTCGAACGAGGACTATTTGCTTGAACACTATATTTCAAGTGCGACCTTAAAATCGTGGATAAAATTCACTAAACATGTGATGACATGGCTTACGAATAACACATACAACCTTGAAGCGTTTGGAAGCGGCAGCCTTGCAGGTACTCGTACATTTGATGTCGTTGCTTATTACGACTCCTAGATCCTTAAAGGTCACTACCCTAGGCAATAAGACTCCAACTATTGTGTGGTGATGCGAATCAACGCAGTTATTTATTTGCATCGTCACAATTTTGCTAGAAATAACTTCCACTGACCATCTACACATTTATTCGACCAATGGATTTAGATCGCGCCGTAATATTTTATCATCTGACATGCCGCACGTGAGTCATTAAGTCATTATGTCATGTGGAAAGAGTAGAACAGATGACTTTGCCACAGATGCTAAGTCACTTACATAAAGTAAGAAAGGTGAGGATCGTGGATTGTACCTCACAGAACTCAACTTATCACAGATTCCCACATTGATAGAGACCCATTTGCCCAAATCAGTTGTCTTCCATCACTGTAAAAGTCAATTATACAGCCTGTAATCTCGTAGCGAATCCCCAAGCGTTCCTGCTTTAGTTTAAGACCCAAGTGAGAGACCTTGTCGAAAGCTTTACGTTCGCTGGAGCCCAATCTTTTCTCTCAAAGAGCGTATTTGTCAAATATGAGGGGCCTTTTCTAAAACCATGTCCGTCTCAATGAAGGACTCTGGTCCTACTGTTCAATCTACTGGGGTGCTGTGTGTATAATATATTGTATAATGATTTTCCTGATATTTGATCTGGCTTGGACTGATATTTTATCGTTATCAAAGACTAAAACTGGATGGTCACTTTTACCTGTGGGTGGCATACAATAAAGGTTCGTGAAGTCAACCTCATAATAAGTCAATATGAGTCTATTAAGGATGATTTCAAGTCTGAGTCGTGTCTAGTTGCTTCGTTCACATGTTTCACTAAAACACATGTTATAACCACATCAAGCAGTTCCTGTTAGAAGGAATTTTTCCATAATTCACTTCTCAGATTTTTCACGTCTACCGTAGGTAGGCGATTTTGTCGTCTGGGGAGCAAATGTCTTTTTTAAAAAATAACATTCCCCGGGTCTAGTTGCACGCGCTTTCGACCAAGGTAGGTGATTAGTCCACACTTATTTTGCGATGTTGCAGAAGTGTAGTGAAGTGACATGTGGAGACCGCAATTTTAAGATCTGTAGCCCGAGCTCTTTTGAGATTAGATGATGAATGGCATCTTATCAATAGTGCTTGCCACGTTTACGCATAATTCAGAACGTTCTTTTAATGTACATGTGATATTTCCTCAAGCATACAGAGTGCAACTACTGTACAACATGACGGTATAATCCATACACTGACGAATATGAGTGCGAGATATATGAGCTCAGTTTTTCTAAATCCACTTGTTATCCAATTTTGTATTGGTGGGTTGTCTTCAGCTTGACGTATCCTTATTCATGAAAAATAAATTCAAAATGAATGCTGCAGAGAAGATCGTGAAAGATCAGTTGTCAAGAATTGTTGGGAGATAGCACTGGATAACTGGCATGCCTAATTAATTATCAACAGTGTTTTCGTAAACAAACCCTTCCACTTTCTGTAGTTTCATCTGTTGTATCTGAACGAAGAAGAGATGAATGGCAATTGTTAGGAACTATTTATAGGCTGTTAGTATACATATATTCATATTATATAGCCATTAAGTAACTAGATTACTTATATTTATTTTTCTCTTACTATAAACTTACATTTGACTAATAGACTAATATTATGTGATTTAATATTCTCAAGTTACACTCAGTTTATCAGTTAATCTCTAACACCCACAACCGCTTTTGGTTTGACCCTGTATAATTGCTGTTTTCTGTTTTGTATATAAACTGAATATATCTAGAATACATGATTCATACGATGGGGGATAAGATTGTTTTCTGAATTCAAACAGGCAGGGTTAGGCAAGAAGGACCAATAAGGACTCAGAGTTGACTCTAGGCTGCTAGTACTGTTTAGCGCATCGTTATTTTGCTACAGCGCCAAGGTTAAATATGTCGATGTTTTAAATGGCGGACTTGTTATATAATAATAAACACGAGTATAAGAACATAACACTAACCACTTTTTGACTTAATGTGTTGCCAATACATTTTCCTTTATTCTTCATCCTCTTCTTAGTCATCAACCAAAAAATTGTCTACACACAAATTTTTTTCTCTCAAATGGCTCCCGACCAACTGATTCTCACTGTTTTTATTGTTTCTTTATTTGCACTGCAAAATCTCGTCAATAATGTTAGGACCACTATATGTGAAGTCACTATAATCACAATTGCATGGCTTAGATTACTCCGACACAGAAGAGGTCTCCTCCACTGAAATTTCGTTATTCTTCTTAACCTAACTTCTAGCTGCCCATTCATAACTCGTTAGTTTGATAATGACAATTCAACGTTTACACCAAGAATAGATGTGTAGATCATCAACGTAGATGATCTATGTCGAATGATTGGAGGCCTACTCGAGTTAGACGGGAATGGTGTGACAAACTAGTTAAGGACGAAGCCACACCTCGTGGTCAACACCTTACGTGGATTACCCCACTGAAGCATCAAGATATTATAGATGCTTTGAAGACTGTACAATACAAAGAACGTTATTACAGAAACATATTAGTTAAAGTAGATAAAAGCGAAAGAAAGACCACCGCCGCATAGGCCAGTACATGGCGTACGATCAACTGATGCATGTTGGTTGTCCTTGACCTTGACGAAGATCTACGGTTTGTTCGATATTCAATGACCCAAGTGCTGGATGATTTGGCTAGGGCTTAGTGACACTTCGCTGGCCCTACGGATCTACGATACGAGCAACAACTCAAGTCTATCTAATTACAAAAGACACAGCCCACAAACTCAACACATACAGGCAGTTTGCAATATTATTGTCCTATTAATTGCAGCTAATACTAACCATTGTAACTCCGACCATATTATGTTGAATGAATGTTCAAATTGATGATACTAGTTTATCAGATACGCGTTGTTCTCAAGAATCGTGTATTTGCAATGAAATTATTCACAGATCTGCGGAAGATATATCGAATGTACCAAATTGTGACCAGAACTCTGATGTTATTTTATCAGATGTTTGTGCTAATGATGCAAGGAGTGGCAAAGCATAAACAGCACTCCTAAAGTTGAAGAACATATGGAACTCAGAACACCTGCCAACTACCATCAAATTCTGAAGCTTCAGTACGAACTTCAAGACAGTTCTACTGTACGGAGATGAAACTTATAGAAGTACCACAACCAATATCAAAAAGTGCATGTGTTTATAAACAATTATCTACGTAATATACTGAATGTTCGTTGGCTAGATTCCACCAGCAAGAGCCTACTGTGGGAGAGAACGAACCAAATTAAGAAAAAAACGTCAGAAGTTCATAGGACACACAATGAGGAAATCACCAAACTGCATCACAAGGCAAGGCGTTAGTTGGAAGCCTGAAGAAAAACGAGAGAGGAAGATCAAACAACACACTGCGTCATGAATTGGAAGGGGACATGAAAATGATGAATAGCAATTCAAAACCAACTTGAAAGGTTTGTCTAACACAGAGTTGGATGTAGAATGTTGGTGGGCGGCATATGCACCTCCATGTTTGGTAACAGGCGTAAGTAAGCAAGTAAGGGCATCACAATTAAATTCGCTGTTTGACAGCGTTGTTGTTTAATGCTTTTATGGTCGAATATATCAAAATCAATCAAATGAGAAGTCAGTAATTATGAATTTTAAATGGGAGATTGAAATATGGCCAATGTGTTTAGTAGATTAAGATCTAATGTGACAAGTTGCTGTATGGGATGCGCAGCATGGCATACTTCGACGTGGGCCGGTGCATCCGCCTCAATGAATGTCTTCAGATAGGAGTGTGTCAGGCAAGACTAATGAGCTGTATATCAATGTCAAAGACTTTTGAACCGTTTATCTTGGGGGTTTGTTTACTGTTACAGGTTAATAGATCTTTCCGGGAACAAAAATGGTGAAAGCTATTTATGGATTGCTTTCTTTATGATTCTTAGTAACAAAAAGAGAGCATGGATCAGAGTTTTCCTTCGGCAAGACTTATATAAGCCACTCAACCTCCTGTCCTTCCAATGATGCAGCTGATAGTTAATACTGTCTCTTTGAAAAATCTTGAATATTGTACCTCTCGTAATTATTAGTTTCAATGGAAAATGCCTGTTGAAAGGTCAAAATACCAGATCACCGTATCAAAGGAAACTGTCAGATCAAAGTATTTTTAATGTTTACAATTCAGTTGCGTTGCATAATCAGCCAAATTCGGCCCTCAAGGTCACCGATGGAGAATGTCCTCAAAGGTATGAAATATTGTTTTTGCGTTTATGAGTAGGAGTGGTAGCGTACGTTGATGTCAAATCATCATTTGGAAACCCGGCAATCGCTCTTATTGCCAGTCTTGAATCTTTAGGAGCTAAAGTGTGTCATACTTTAAGTCACTTAGTTACACATGTTATTTTTCGAAATGGCTCAGAAGTGGTCAGAAGTTGGGCTAAAAAGAGAAATATACCAGTAGTATCTCCAGCATGGGTAAAGGCTTCTAGAATGATGAAGGTAAGTCATTAGTTTAATAGTTACCACATTGGTGTGGTAGGTTAAAGCTCCCGAGGCGGCCTACTTTGAAAAGGAGGACGGAAGTGATCTCTCTGAATTACCCACAAAACTGGATAATGAAGATAGTAGTGATGTAAAGGTTATAAATCGAACTGGTGTGGATATTTCAGGTATTGTCCACCTTTGACTTCTCTTCGGTTTTTTTTCGGGTAATGGTAGAATTATCCCTTTACTGAGATTTTCCATAAAATTCACTCTTTGTTTCCCATTTTTTGGTCCTTTAGTCTTTTACTTGTTTACCCTCATAAAAGTGTGTAGTTCTCATCAAGTGCGTTTTCAATTTCATAATTGCATATACGTTTCTACAAACGAATATTAACCTGATCCACATTCTACCGTCTTACAACTACAAACATTGTGTAACAGTCGAATTAAGTCATAAATGTTAGTAAGATTAGTCCTACAACAAGTTTGAAGGAAATCTAGTAACTGGAAAAGACCAGTATCCATGTAGCTAAGATATTGATGAAAATATCGGTTAGGGATGTAGTGAAGGTTATTTAAGTGTAGATTATTTTCATGATAAGCTCGGTGAAAGCAAATTATATACACGACCTTGAGGTGCCTTTTATCTAACGAGAAATCTGGTTTTAAGGAGACCCTGATAAGGAATTAATGACTATAGGTGATAGAACTTTTAATGTGCTGCACTCTTTTACCTCTGGCTACGGTTACTGGGTTGTAAAGATTTGTTAAGCTTAAGTAAACCTCTCATAACTGAGTATCTGAATCTTTTCAATAATGAGATTTTCTGTTACTAGTAGTGCACTATGAATTTCACCTGTACCATTTTGTTCCAGGGGTTATTTTTATTAGGCACGATGTTGATGATGTGAATCACTGGGTCCTCCAAGAACATAAAGTCTGAAACAATCGCAAGACAATCTTTGTTACTTTAAACAAAGAAACATAGGTACAAGGAGGCACCAGATACATATGCGCCACACAAATTTCATTTGATATGTGTGGGGGCTGGGATACTGCCTGAGTGTTCAAACCGAAGCAGGTGGTTTCCTTAGGGCGCCACACCTGGAGCCTCAATCCAAAGGTCTGATCCAAAAGGTAGTGGAGCATCGTAAAGAGATGCAGTCTCACGGTAGCCGGTGACCAATAATTGGTTCAAACGCTATTTGTTCCTTTAGGATACTGGAGCCCATGTGCACCATTGGTTTGGAATCCGGTTAAACAACAGAGATGCCACGATAAGGCGGTGAGTAAGACTTCCGTGGCAGTGATTGTATGCACGTGGTCATGTGAGAGCATTTCGAAAGGGACAGCCAACTTTCTTTACTCTCGGCCGTACCAGGGCATTCGGGGGTAGTCTTTAGTCTTCAAGGTCTTTGCTTTATACGTGTTTATGGTACTGAAGTATTCAAGTATAAAATGTTCGTAATTAGTGGACATTAATAAATTCTACAAACTGTTCATGTTCCTGAAAGCTTCCATAACTTGTCTGGTTATCTCAGACAAATTATAGATCTGCATGGAATCAAGTAGGATTTTAGAAAAGTCATTTGGTCTTCAAAAATATTTCCATACTACACCTCACCTATTATGTTTAGTTCGAGGTCGAGTACAAGAATCCATAATTGACTGATTAGTTTGTTTTGGCGAAGACTTTATACATAATACTAAAAGCCTTCACCTTGTCTTTTAAAATCCTTAGATATCGTGTCCATCTCTGAAGTTCTCCAAAAGTCAATCAGCTACAAAGTAGAACCAGGCACATATATGCATCGTTCCAAGTTGCCACACCTCATTAGCACAACAAGATGAACACCGAATTCATGGAAGTAGTTACTTCAATGGTAGTAATATATAAAAGAAGGATTGCATATAAGGATATAGTACAGGAAGAAAGAATTAGTTCGTAGAAAGAAATGTTTAAAGCAATTTTAATCTCACGGTTCAAAGGACGATATAGAGTGTATACACCTACACCATTGTGATCGATTCTGAGCCACGTCACCCAGAGTCTCCAACCATTAATTACGGTAGTTACGTGGACTCGAACCAAGTACTCTGCATCTACTAACATGGCTCAGACCAGAAGTTAGTGGGTTTATAAACCGATGCCACGTTTTGGTTTAACCGCCCCTAAATTTCTTCCGACCGGTTACAACACTAGTCAGCATTACGCGCCGTGGTAATAAGTGGTTGGACATACGTAACACGTGGCCCAACCATCTCAGTCGATGAAGATTCACGGCCTCATCAACTGATTTACCATCATTCCCAAAAAATCGTTCACAACTTATTCTTATGTGGTTTGCACGCGTTTAGCCTACAAAATACGCACATTATTCAAAATCATAATAATTGTATTCTTAGTTCATTCAGCAAAACATTTAGATGAGGTACTTATCTATCAAAAGTAACCAGTAGTTATTATTTAAATGTCTTTGCTAGACAGGGAATACAACAATGGATTGTCAGTTTTTAAACCGATTCGTGTGAGTGAGAAATTTATTAGACCGAAAACACCTCCTGGGATGAGGGACTTTCTACTTCGTATTCAGAAAGGTCAAATATTAAATGGAGAAGACACTATTTGTGATGAAACTGTACTGATGAACTCAAGGGAAAACATTGAAAATGACGAACCGGGACCAAGTGTTGGAGAAGGCTTCCAAAATTCCAACGTAAAACCAAAAGGTATTTGTTAACGTTCTGTTTTATTGTCATGTGTGTTCCCTACGTTGGTACTATAACAAGTATTGCAGTAAATGAGTTTGGAAAAATTCAAATCCACGCTTTATAGGACGAGTTTATTTAGCAGATATGCAAGCAGCAAATAAAGAAAGTACATCTTAGTCATAATATTAGAGGTGTGACAACTTGGACCGATGCATATATGTGCTTGGTCCCACGTGTTAGCTGACTGACTGCCATAATATTTGATACTTTCTTCATTTGAAGTATAATTATTCTATTGTTGTTTCCGATTGAGTTTTCGGGAAATGAACTTATAATACTCTATTAATAAAGTTGGGGTTAGTCGTTTCTATCAAGTACAGTTATCTCTAATACTCCTTAAGCCAGATGTGCGAAGATTCATTTAACCTTTCTAATTAATATATGCGGGAATTATATATATATATATATATATATATTGTTATATCCGGTGAAGATTAAATTACAGGTAACTTCCAAGGACTATTCATGGACTAATATTCTATAAATATTCTTATTGTATAACTACTCAACAATTACACTATGTATATTTATATTCCTTTTATGATAAGCTTTATTTTGACCTATAATTTATTATTGTATGATTTACGGTTCTTAAGCTATGCTCAGTCTATTAATTACTGTCCCCCTCATTCACAGCCACTTTTTGGCTTATTTGTGTACACATGTTATTTTCTATTTTATGGTACGTTGTGGTCTGTCTGATTGATATATAAACCGAGTATGTCTGAAATAAACGATCTGATCTGATTGATTCGATTCATATTACGGAAGCTGGTATTGTGTTCTGGACTCAAGTGGAAGGGCTCGGAGGACATAGGACCAATAAGGACGCTAAACTGCCCACACCGGTTGAACGTCATTGGTTGGCCTAGTGTGAAGATTCGTATAAGTCGTATTCGGATTGGTAGATAAATCGTGTGATAGAAAAGCCAGACGTCAAGGTCATAGCATGTATATATATATATATATATATATTTCTTTGATGATTTTGATTATTACCCTGAAGAAGTCCAGACAAGTTAGCTAGAAGAAACGTTGGAATTATTTGAATTTCAATCGCTGAGATTATTTCAGATATAATTTTCACATATAATGACTTCTTTTTACTCGGCGCTCAATTTCTTTTAATTAATATTTTTACAAATGTATGATGATTCTGCTCAATCAGTCAGTCAGTAACAACGTAGAACTTCGTACGTACGTACATCAGTTCGAGTTGCCACACCACATTAGCACAGAGATGCAGTGGTCGATTCAAATCCCGTAGTGGTAGAGGTAATAAGAGTATAAGCAGTAATCGGGAAGATTAGTGTTTGGAGATGTTATTTAAAGAGTATAATCCAGTGAAATAAATTTGAGAGGAGAAAAAAAGAGACAAGGTGGAATAAGGAGATCAAAATTTGGGAGAACACAAAGAGTGGATGCACCTGCGCCATTGCAAACGATTTTGAGCCATGTCATTCAGGGTCTCTAACCATCGGTTGCTATCATCTCGCGGTCCCCAACCAGGTAGTCTACACCTACCAACATGACTCAGTCCACTTGTCAGTGACTTCATGGACTTGTGCCATGTTTTGGTTGGCCGCCCCTAGCTTTCTTCCAACCTACTCCTATACCACTGAACATAGCACGTCGAGGCAGTCGGTCGTTGGGCATACGTAACACGTGTCCCAGCCATCTCAACTGATGAAGTTTCACTACTTCATCAATTGATTTGCCATCCTTACCTAGTACCCGTTTCCTAACAACTGTGTTACTTACTCGATGGTCCCATGATATACGAGCAATATTTCGAAGACACCTATGATCAAATACTAGTAACCTACGGATATCCTCTACTCTTACCGGCCATGTTTCACTGCCATAAAGTAGGACGGAACGAACTGCTGCGCAGTAAACCCGTCCTTTGGTTGATAGACGGATATCTCGCCTACGCCATAAATGACGCAAGTTGGCAAAAGCTAGTCGAGCCTTCTGTATCCGTGCTGAGATTTCGTCACACACCAGACCACAAGGGCTGATGAGACTTCCAAGATAAGTGAAGCGGTCGACACACTCAACTACTTCACTCCCTATCACTAGTTCGGGTGTCGATGTAACCCAATCCTGAAGCAACATTTTGCATTTCGAGGGAGAGAATCGCATCCCGAACATGCTTGCATTGTTGCTTAGAGTGGTCAGAAGACTCTGCATTTTGTCAGCGTCTTCACCAAATAAAACTATGTCATCAGCATATTCTAAGTCAACAAGTGAACCTCCCGGTAGAAGTTCAACCCCTGTAAATTTAGATGAGGAGAGTGTTATCTCTAAAAGTACGTCGACAAAGTTGAACAAGAATGGGGAGAGTGGACAGCCCTGACGAACACCACTTGAGGTAATCAATTCTGATGACAGTTCGCCATAAGCTCTCACTCTACCAGTTGTGTTCGAGTAGAGAGCCTTTATAAGGTTAATGTACTTCTTTGGTACTCCTTTCAGTGACAAACACTGCCATAGAACCTCACGATCAACAGAGTCGAATGCCGCCTTAAGGTCGAGAAATACTACCATTGTGGGGCGTCTGAATGTGTGTCTGTGTTCTAGAACCTGACGTAGTGTGAATATCTGATCTATACAACCACGTCCAGGTCGAAAACCAGCCTGGTTTTCTCTAGTCTGCTCTTCACGAGCTTTGTTAGGCGTCGAAGTATTATTGAAGCTAATATTTTAGACACTATATTAGTCAAACTGATTCCTCTGTGATTGTCACAAGAGGACTTTTGTCCTTTCTTATAGACTGGCACAATCAGTGATTGAGACCAGTCAGATGGGATTACGTCCAGTTCCCAAATTCTACCTAAGACCTCAGTTAATCTCATTGCTAATACTGGACCACCATCCTTAAAAATCTCAGGAGTAAACCTGTCAGGGCCTGCTGCTCTCCCTCGTTTCAGATTTCCTATGGCTTTTTCAACTTCGTAAAGGGACGGAGGACCTACATTAACTTGCCATTCAGGTTGACTGGAGATCGTGGGAAACCGAAGTGTGGCTGAAGGCCAGTTGAACTGATCCCTAAAGTGTTCTGCCCATCGATCCAATCTCCTGGATTGAGAATGAATAATATGTCCATCTTTCTCTGAGATTGTTTCGCTAACGGTCGGTTCCTAATTCCGGTTTCCTTAACGAGTCTGAACAATTGTCTGCTATTACCTATTGCCGCTGCCTTTTCCATCTCTCTTGCTTTCGCTACCCACCACTGTTCGCGATCATTGCGTAGACTTCTTGTCAGCTTGCGCTTAAGCTGACTCCGCTCTTCATTATGTTCAGAGCCAGGTGGAATGAGTTTCCGAGCATCTATCAGTGCGATAGATGCTGCTGAGATCCAGTGTTGCTCCCTAACCTTCCGGTTTACCTTACTAGCAGATATCACTGCTGTTTCCACAGCTTTTCGGATATCATTCCATGCTGCATCGGGGTGGGCATCACATACATGGCTGCCTAACTGTTTTCCTAGTTGTTCCTGAAATATACTCTTAGCTTGACTATCATTAAGTAGGGCCCTAAGAGGTTTCCTTGCAGCGTCTTTCCTACGTCCAGTAAGACGCAAGCAAATACGCGCTCGCACTAGAGCATGATCTGAATCTAGGCATGTGCTCCAGAATGAGCGACAGTCTTCTATCGAGCCCCTCCATCGGTGGCTGATAGCGATGTGATCTATTTGGGTCCAACGTTGGGACGAATTAGGGGGTCGCCATGTTAAAAGATGTTTTTCCTTATGCTTAAAGTTAGTATTTGCAAGGAACAGGCGGTTATCTGAGCATAGCTGCAACAGACGGTCGCCATTATCTGTTCTTTGAGCCACGACTATAAGATCCACCCAGGTGTCTTTCCCTATCGCTTAGTTTACCTACTTGAGCAATAAAGTCACCGGAGAATAGGCAGAGACGACGAAGAGGCAACGACGAGTGTCCCTATCTTTTCGGATCCTTACTGTTCCGTTCAGTCGGACAGCGCACAAACGACTGTCTACTGGGATCCACTCTAAGAGAGCTAGTTTTGCCCTAGGACTCAATGCTATACCTACGCCGGCGAGGCCACGGGAAGCAGAATCTGGGCTTCCAGATACACGAAGTGTGAATCGAGTCGGTTCTTTATTTTGGCATGGTGAGGTCAAATAGATGACGCTACTCGGATCCTGTATGCGCGTTTCGGAGACGCAGCACACATCGATGGCGCGGGATTCTAAAGTCCTATCTAAGGAAGCCTGTTGTCCTATTTGGCACAGTGTTCGGACATTAAAAGCTCCTACGTGTAGTTTAGAGCGTGGTTTCAGGAGGCCAGAAACAAAGTTCCACATACTCGAATCGTTTGCCCTAGCGGTGCGAGATGATAAAGAGACGTGAGAAGGGTTAGTCATGGAGATAAGAGAGGTATTAGGAGGTGTAAGAAGGATTTGAATGTGACCAACTTGTTCTCGTGTGCTGCTACGTGTATGTGTGCTGATATCACTTCCCGGCTGCCCACACCGTGGAAGGGTATTTCTTGATGAACCTGAAAAGGAAATTGGATTAGTGTTGGTCTTGACGACCTGGGAGCGTGACCGCAGTGCCCAAGGGATAACTGCTTGAGGCCGGTCGCGCACGGCGTTTTCGTGGGAGGTTTTTAATGTGTTACCTCCGTTCTTCAAAGGGCCTTACCGCCGGAGACGGAAATCCGTGAGGTAAGGTGAGGTGTGACATTTTTAGGGTCGACCTTTTCTAACCCCACCCCTCCTTGTGGGAAGGCAGTATCGCTGCAGGTGCTGGTTGTCTGAGGGAAACACCTTACTGCTGTCACACCTCTCTACAGTCAGCAGTACGACTTCACCCTCAGACCTTGAGTTGCTGCTTTTAGTCTTACCGTTCTCCAATCGACCTGCCTGGCATGGTAGAACCTACAGGAACATATGTTCCAGCCAATATAGCTCGGTTGGGTCATCACAATAGGCAAGCCCGACCACCGCGTCAAGGTAGCAGCTTCGGTCGGGATGATTCTGCTAACCAATATCAGATACAAGCTACTAGTTAATAACCTTCTAGCGAGATGAATTTCCGGCTATTGGATTTAGTCAATATGAGCATGATATTCAAATATAGACAAATGCGTTTTAATTTTAAAAAATAATATCAAACTCGATGTTCAGATTTCTACTAATACTCAAGGATTTCATATTAACACTTCATATGTGTAAATGATCCAATTAAAGCAACGAAAATACATAGGAATCACCTCAATAAATCTTTTCAAATCAGCAACTTAGTTATGGGTCTTGTGATAGACTTCGATCTTAGTTTAATGTGGAGTTCAGCGATACTACTCACATGCTGTAATATAAAGAGTTAGAATGGGTTTTGTACATCCAAGTATTTTCTCTTATTACTGAGCCATCGGTTTAACTAAAGTAGACCAATATATTATCAATCATCTTTAGTTCTTGCTTTAGGCTTGATTTATTGTAAACATTACAAATGCCCTGGTACGGCCGAGAGTGGGGAGAGTCCGCTCTCCCTCTCGAAATGCTCTCACACGGCCACGCGTATATAGCCTCTACCAGGGAAGTCCTACTCACTGCCTTCTCGTGGCATCGCTGTTGTTTACGAAAATGAGAGGACGAAAAGCGAATGTCCGGCACTTTAACCGGGTTCAAAACCAGTGGTGCACATGGGCTCCAGTATCCTGCGGGAACAAATGGCGTATGAACCAATTGTTGGTCACCGGATACCATGGGACTGCATCTCCTTACGTTGCTCTACTGCCTTGTGGATCAGACCATCAGGTCGAAGGCTCAGGGAGTGGCCCTCTAAGACAACTACCTGCTTCAGTTTGGGCACCCGGGCAGTATCACAGCCCTCACACATATCGAATCAGATTTGTGTGGCGCATATGTATTTGGTGCCTCTTTGTACCAATATCTATGTGTTGAAATAAATAAATTACAACTGGGGAACCTAGACGTTCAGAAGGTTCTATACAAAGTAAATTTAGTTATAAAGCTACATATTGTGTATGAATACGTCAATTAGTAAAATTATCCGAAACTACATGAACAAGTTTCATTATTGAATGCACTTTTATTTAAAGACGAAGAGGTTGTGAAGTGAAGAAAGTCCATTAATCATGTAAAAAAATACGTAAACTTCTATTTTCACCACCTTTTCACAGACCATTTGCAGTGCGGTTAAAGAGACTACAATTTATGGATGAACCAGTGATATTTAAGATAGCGAGTCTTGAATTTTGGCACGAAAGTTATTCATCCATATGGCTAAATAGCATTTCGGCATTATAACTGATGCCAGTTCGTGATGAAAACCCTAACTTGAGTTCGTAACCCTAACTCTCAATCCCGATTCTGAATTCTCACACTAATTTATAGCCCTCTTTAAACCATAGTAGGTTGGTGGATTTTCTCAAAGTTACTTTGACGTCGTTCATAAATTATTGTCTCACCGATCAGTCTTGGTATTTTTAACGTGTATGTATTGAACACTTAGTTTAAGGAACTTTTCATATTCTCCTAATTATAAACTTCCATTTGACTCAGTAACTTCTGTTATATCTTTCTCTATTCTCAAATTGTAAGTTAATTATAAACCTGTTTCTCCAGACCTGAAACATAAATGTCCTAGTTATTTACGTGGTAGGATGTGTTCTGGTCCCCTAATTTGTGTATATAATCAACTTCGCTTTTTATGCTAATACATACATCGTACATCGCGTGTTCTTTTCCCATTCTCTGGTTGAGACTTAGGGACAGGAGTTCTGCGTAGGCCAACAAGAGTTAGCATATCAGGTCATCGAATCTTTGATGGGTGGACATCAGTATTATTAATTTGAGTGTAACAGAACAAGGTCATATCATATAGTGAATATTTATTTGAACGCATAAACATTGGTACACGAGGGCACCAAATACATAGGCGTCACACAATAACAATGAGGTCAGTAGCAGTTATCATTGATTTGTGTGAAGGCTGTGATACCACCCGGGTGCGCAGACTGAGACAGGTGGTTTTCTTAAGAGGCCACATCCGGATCCTTCGACCTAAAAGTCTAATTCACAAGGCAATGAAGAAACGCCAGGAGAGGCGGTCTCATGGTAGCCGGTGACCGACAATTGGTTCATACGCCATTTGTTCCTTCAGGATTCTGAAGCCCATGTGTATCAATAGTTTGGAATCAGGGTTTTCCAACTCCCCTGGATGGATCCTCTATATCCAAAATCCCGGTCAAAGCGCTGAACACTCGCTTTTTGTCCATTGCGAGAAGGCAGTGGTTGTATCCATGTGGCCATGTGAGAGTATTAGCAGAGGTAAGGCTGACTCTCTCCACCCTCGACCGTACCAGGACATTTGGGAGACTCACATTGTGATACCGTTTACTTTATATTTTATCAGTTTCTTATTTCTGTTTTTTTTTTATACTTTTGTTTCCTCATTAGCTTTAACTGACTCTCCAATTACTTCTACTCAAAATATAACAGATCAATCAAAAGTTTTAGAATTCCGTAATTCTTTATCACCTATTATTAATCAACCTCAAAGTTCAGTTATCATTGACGATAGTATAATAAGTAATTCTTTAATAGAAAATTATCCTGTTACAACTAATTCTCAACAAAAATTATCATCTAAATTTCGTCTTATTAATCCGAATGTTGATTCACCATCGGAACAATTAATTGTTCCAAAAATTAAAAAAACATCACATTTATTCAATGAAATTAATAACCAATCAAAAAAATTGAGAAGGAAATCATCTGTTAATAGTAAAAGAATTTCAATTGGTACTCCGCTTACACCAGATATTCTACTGGATTTTGTCAGTTCCACACATTCATCAAAATCGGCTAATACAAAAAAGCATAACACTGAATCTGTAGACAATAAATTGGAAAATGTTCAACAACAATTAAAAAAGTCAAACTTATTAACATATAGAAAATCTACAAAATTATTCTCGAATTTAAAAAATTCACCATCAGTTACACCTAAATTACGTAGTAAGTCAATTCTCAAAGAGGTTAATCATAACAGTAATACCACCACTACTACTACTACTAATGGTGATGATGATGATCATAATAATACTAAGGTTAAATTAAAGACTACGCTATCTACAGGTAAAAGAACACCAATTCACAAACAATCAAGACAGTCTACTCACAATAGTCAGTCAAAAAGTAAAAGTATTACAGAGAAGAAAACGAATAATAATGAAGAAATGAAAAATCTCTTAGCATCATCTAGTCGTAAACAGAATGTCAATTCTTCAAAAGACATTTCAATTCAACAGCGAAAAAAATCAATGAGTGCATTATGTACGCAAACATTACGACCTGTAATTGTTCGTCTACCATCCAATGTAGATTTAGACGCAACAAAAATTGTTCCTTGTTTAGAGGACTCAGAATCACTTAACAAGCAACAAGACAAATCAAATCAAACTTTAATGGTATCTAATTCTGTCCATAAAAAATCATGTGGTGTAACCAACGAACTGTTGCCAGACAATCATTATAAAGCAAAGTTAAATAATAACGAAATTACACCACTATCAACAACACCGAAACGTCTATCTGTGAGTCAAATAAAAGTGAGTTGTCATTGTGTACCTGATATAAATCCCTATACCAATGACTGGAATAGTAGCTTAATGGTTTAGGCGTTCGACTTTCAACTACGAGGTCCCAGATTTGAGTTTCATCCCACTTCAGTTCTAATAGCCCTCATTCATAATGTGTGGCTCAAAACCGAGTACACGAATCTGTACTTGGTAAATAAGCTATATCATCATGTCACTAGTTGGAAAACTTTTCATGGCTATAGTTCCATAGAACCTTTACACTTTTTTAATATATCAGCAATGTGTTAAAATGGCATGTCTTTCATTGATTTTATTGAAATCTACTATCAGTATCATAGATTAAAATTTTGGTTCTTCAGTAATGTGGTTTGCGGGGACTGGCTTAATTTAAAAACTATTTTTGTCATGAATAGACATCAGTTGTAAAACTATTTGAAGTTTATGGAAGCTCTGAGTAGCTGTTTCGTTCTAGATTGGGGCTTTGAAGCATTTATGACATATATCACTAATGATATCGACTGATTATCACAGTATATTGTGACTTCGTTGAGGTCAGAAATGTAGACCATTGAAGGTTGACTCAATGGTTTAAACGTAACATGTTCGCTGAGAGTGTAGAGTCTCAGGAGTTCAATCTCGTATGAAGTCATGGATACAGAAATCCAACGAGTCTCAAATTGAAACGAATCAACTGTCTGATACTCCCTGATTTTCAATTGCGTTTCAGACAATGTCAGTCCTTGACAAAAAGTATCTGTCAGACTTCATTAATTTGGTAGTATTGATGTCTTTTTGACAGATATAATGAGATACAGTTATCTCAGGATCGGTGTAGTTTATTGATATTAACATACTCATTTACTGAATATGGATATCTGATGTCGACTGTGACAGTTAAACATTCTGAATTATCGCACATTTCTGACTTCTTTTACATGCTGACTTTTGCAAATACCTGCAGTTGGTCATATATGCTATGAGGTAAATCTTTAATTACCATAATGTTTCACAGACACATATCTTCAGTGTCCTAGGATATAACACCAAATGTTCCAAACTTTTTTTTGTGTTAAGTCACCTCTAAAAAAAAAGTATTTTGGACCAAAGTTACAAACAAATATGTTTATAATTTCACGTCCTTTCCCACTAATATTGAGCAAGTGTGCAGACTTTAATGCTGAATCATCTCTAAGAGAATAATGTGAAGATTGTTAAGTCAAAAGTTATTGTAAATGATCTATATGATAAATGTTCAAACTGGGCTGCTGCTTTTGGTGAAACTGACAAAAAACCTTGAGAAAACTCATAAAGTGTTGAAGACTATTTATGAAAATAATGGATTAAAGGAAATTCTGCGGACGATGCCACAACTATAGAGCGTGACTTCTAAGAATGTTTTAAATAATGGAAAGAGATGGAACAAGTGTAATGCCACTAATGAGCGGTATTTTGAAGGAGGATAATATTGATGTGCTCTAAATTATGCTAAGTAAATTGTCCATAACCTCAGTTGGCTTGTCTATTGGACGAACTACTTGAAGTTCAGTAGAGCAATGAAGTACAAAAATATACCGACTATCTAATTTTATGGTTTACACCACAAACTAATCTTAGAGAACTGTTCAAAATCAGGATGCACTATACAGCTGTTTCGTCCTAATGGAATGCCTCGACAGCGCCACCCACGACCTTGACGAAGGTTGAATCCAGGACCTTCGGGTTTCTTACCTAGCGCTTAACTTTTGGACGATTTTGCCTCCATTTAGTTGTGTACATGTCTAATTTTAATCTGTAGAGGCTAGTATCCTCTATATCTGACTCCAATAAATAGTATCCCGTTAACTGAGTATTTAATGCAGGCTAAATCTCTCAGTAGAACTATGAATTTACTCGAGATTATTCAAAAGCCCGAACATCAGTTATAGAGATAGTTTATTGTTAAAGATTGGTAAAATCCGCAAGCGTACAGGAAGCAAGCACACAAGGAAACCAAGAGTATGTGTGTGAGTGTGAGTGTTAAAAATCCATATATACTTTTGAGTGTTAATCAAGTATGGATAAATTATTGATTGTCTGTGTTTTACAACCAGTGGGAGAATGGATTAAAAATTGACATGTGCTCAATCAGACTCACACAGAAAACTACATGGTGGATCAAGTGTCTAAATTACAGTGAGCAGATAAATAATACAATAGTTGAATAGGCATACTACAAATCCACCCAAAATTTTACGCGACCGTCTTTCACTGCCTCGAATGTGTAGTGCTCTGTGAGGTTGGAAGGTCTTAAGTCTGGTCCCCGGTGGGGTTGTAGACGCTCACTACTGGGGACCCATGTATTAGGACAAAACGGTTGTTCGGAGCTTCTCGTTCTCTGGTGGTTGTTTAAATAAGATCAATTCGTGATGTAAACTACGAAAATTTAAGTCTCCACAGACCCATACAATAGTAATCCGGTTCTAGTTTGTTTTCACTTAATTTTTTATTATTTAAACACATAGATATTGGTACAAGAAGGCACCAAATACATGTGCGCCACACAAATCTTATTCGATATGTGTGAGGGCTGTGATACTGCCCGGGTGCCCAAACCGAAGCAGGTGGTTTTCTCAGGGGGCCACTCCCCAACTAGGTTAGCAATTTTTTAGGTGAGACACGGTGTTCCATGCCTGGAAAGGCAAATTAAACAAAAACTGGCTTAAATCTATCAAAATTATAAGAGCCTCCCTTTTATTTTTGTTATTCAGTTTAACTACCGTTAAATCAATTTTTCGCCATTTGTCTGCGTCAGTATATGAGGTTATTCTGTCGATCCTAGAGTGTACACAACATTGTCGGTCATTTTTTTTTACAAATGACTTATTAACACCTAAGATAAAGGTAACGAATAGGAAGTCTGTCAGACCTGATGCAAGCGAATCCGACGGACATATCAATGGGTCATTCTACTCATAAGATGCCCTCATTCTATTCAAATCTTGGGTTTATTTATCTTTCAGTGTAATAGGGAATATCACCATTGTCCCTTAATGCTGAACATTTTGTGTCAACTGACTTTTCAATCAAATATTATTCATCATTATGATTTCACTTAACTAAATTATCTGTTTCTTCTTTATTTAGACTATCAATAAACGTAGTAGCTTAGAAGAATTTCGGTCTACACCGCAGGTAAAACGCAAAGGTAATGTAATTTAATTAATTATCCTCTATTGACCGAAATGACGTTGTACCTACATAACCAAGTGCATGTTTATGGTCTCGACCCCGAAGCACGCTTCTATTTTTAGCGTTAGTTATACTACTCAGTCGACTGAACCAAATTAGTTGAAACAGGATCGGAATAAATGATTCAATCACTAAATATAGAGTCCTTTAAAGCCAACAATTTACTGTCCCACTTTTGCTTTTTTGTTGATGAGTTAATGGATTAGTGGCAAAACACTTGATTTTCGGACATTACATTGTTGAATTCACTTGGTATTGTTTAACTTGAATCTTCCCATTGATGTTTTTGGACTGAGATTGATCAGTCTCTTATTGGCATATGTGCATACTGTGCGTATGCCTCGGTATTGCCTTAATTTACAAGCATTATAATGGGAAGATTCAAGTTAAACAATACCAAGTAAATTAAACTTCACCCCATTGCACAAGCAAGTGGCTATCAGGACTCAGTAGCTAAGTGGATAACGCGATGGCGTTTGCAGCGAACGGTACTGAGTTCGAGTCCCAGAGTGAACATCAACTCTGAGATGCAGGTACATCCATCTGACGAGTCCCAAACAGGACGAAACGCGCGTCCTGGATTCCACTGCTAACCACTCATTACATTGTTGGTTTGAACCGCGTCCCATCTATTTTGATGTGAAAGACGGAGTAATATAATTACTTACTTCCACTTTGCTAAAGCGATCGCGGAACTACTCAATTTTTGTTAAGAAGTTGAAATAAATAATAGATGTAGTATTTAGTTTAGTGTAAAAGCTTGAGATATATGCGACCAAAAACACTAGAACTCGGTATTATCTCGGAGTTGGACACTGGTAACCATGTGATTGTTAGTATAGGGGTTTGTAAACACTATTGCGTTTGTTGCTTTACATCACTAAAATTGGATGAACAACCCTTGATAACCAGGCAGCAATAGAAAGCTATATCGTCCTAGTTTGGGTTTCTTCAGAAGTTCCTACATACATCAGAGACTGGAACCAGAACTTTAAGTTATCTTACGCTTATCTTTAGACCACTTAGTTGGAACCCTGTTGTCCATATTTCCAAAAAGAATTAGTTCGCACTATTACTAGTAAGTTACATAATGTCCTTGGAAGGTAACTCCATGACTACTGAAGTTAAATCATGAGCTCCCCACATGGCACAAAGGTCATGACTCCGATTTCTGGTGGGGCCATATATGAAAATTGCTGTAAAGTTCCAGACTAGGATAAAGTACTGAATAATACTAAACTACATGGATTTGTAGAAATACATTACTAGAGAATCAAAACTATGTGAATACAATGCATATGTCAAGTAACTTTCCTGGTGATCACCACCAGATAATAAAAATAATTTCTTTATAATTATTTAGACTTCAATGCAGAACTCGAGCATATTTATGATTTTTAAGCCGATGATGTTTTTCATCTTAAATTTGCATAATTTATACCAATTGCATTTTAAATTAGACAATATTTTATAATGCTCTCCAGATATGTCGATAAGATCTCCAATAGCGTCTGAAATAGGTGCAACAAGGATCAGCATAGTATTTAGTGGAACTCAATCAGAGTGAGTTTTTTTTCTTCAATGTTATTTAGATTAGTATTATATGCTTTTAGCTCAAATGTAAACTTGTCTGAATCATGCAGTTACGCAAAATACCTGCTTTCTATTTATTATAGTAAATATTTCTGTTGTGTTATAGTTTTTCTCATGTTTAATTATTCCCCTTTTATATTTAACTGTTTTGTACATCACCGTCAGCGCTCCTACAGAGCTACTGAAATGCATAAGATTTTCGACTATAAATGAATGAATTCAGGTATAGGGTGTTACTGGTCTTGTAGAAGTACTTTACATTTGAGTGATATAATTTGCATGACGAAGCTGGAGAGTCTACATCAAGTATACATCAAATTCTTTAACCTTCATCCTTCTTTTGAATAAACTATCATTTTTGAACTTAAAATTATTAATTTGAGTGGTTGAAGCTAGACCACCATGGAAAACCTGGAAGCACTGGACGGCCGTTTCGTCCCATTGTGGGACTCCTCAGCAGTGCGCATCCACAATCTCGCCCTCCGCGATATTCGAACCCAGGACCTATCAGTCTTGCGCGCGAGCGCTTAACCACTAGACCACTGAGTCGGTCGGTATCCAATTGTATTAAAGTCTAACTTCAACTAATCCACGAAATTGATTGATGCATCCACCATTGTCATCAGTGAGTTACTATTTCACAACAGACCTGATTGAACTCCACTGATCACTGCTTCTCATTAGAACTCCAGGATATACCTCTTAAAGCCAGTCACTCATGATCTCATCCATTGAAATTACTGTAATATCCACAAAAACCCCTTCTGATATTAAAATTATTAGTTTAATAGATGGATATAATCTGTGAACCTCTACCCCCTTTTTAGATCAGATCTGTTCAAATAATCTGTGATATGTACTTCAGTTTAGCTAGATTAAAGGGAAGGATTTGTTGTTGTTCGAGGATAAATCTAATATATTAGTCAGTGATAACTAGTATTTAAGGAAATTATCATCTTTTACGTTATTTCAATGAAACTCAGTCAGTCAGTCAGCTACAACGTAGGACCAGGCACATATACGCATCAATCCAAGTTTCTATACCTCATTAGCACAACAAAATGAACACCAAATTCATAGAAGCAGTCACTTCGATGTTGGTAAAAAAACACTTCATATAAGGATATGATACAAGGAGAAGATTAGCTATCGAATTGTAAAATTTCACGTTACCGTTACAAAATAACTTAAGGCAGTACGCACAAGATGCACATATGCCAGTAAGAGACTGACCAATTGCAGTCCTAAACATCAATAGAACGATTCAAATAAACAATACAAAGTGAATTTAAACTTCACCTCATTGCACAAGCAATTGACTATCAGGACTCAGTAGCTAAGTGGATAATGTGATGGCGTTCGAAGCAAATGGTACTGGGTTCAAGTCCCAGAGTAAAACTCCTGAGATGCAGTTACATCCATCTGACGAGTCTCGAATAGGACAAAACGCGCATCTTGGATTCCACTGCTGGCCATTATCCATCTTTGCTTATAATGCTTATGAGTTAAGGCAATATCGAGGCAATACACACATATGCCAATAAGAGACTGATCAATTGAAGTCTTAAACATCTATAGGATGATTCAAGTGAAAACTATAGCAAGTGAATTTAAAATAACTTGTCGTTTTACTAAATTTTTTATAGATGCTTTTCAAAGTTACCTACTTTTACATTTTGATAGGAAACTGTTAAATTAGTAATCAACATTTAAGACTGTTGATTGATAAAATGGGAAAAATGTTCTACTTTAGATTTTTTAAAATCCTGCTACATTCTATAAATAATCTTATTATATAAAAAAATCCCTCAGTTTTCTTTCTGATATGTCGTCCAATTGATTTACCAGCCACCCCTAATAACTTCAGACTAAATTTACATGGCATCTTAAATACAAGAACAAAGGCACGAAGTTTTAAAGGGGCGCTTTACTCCAAATTTAGTTTGTGTACAGAAAGACGAGGATATTTATAATATTACAGACGATCCTGGGCTTCTGAAAGTTTCTGAAACCGTACTAAACATAGCAGCGGCTAGGTAAATGTCCAATGAGAGACGTGATACGCATCTCTTCACTCTCTAAATGTTTTTGAGAAGCTTCTATTCAGCGCTAATTGGTTAACATGTTCATATTGTCTTTTACGAGGAATACTTTAGAACTTCCTAACACGTCCCATTATAATTTTACGTTGATTTAAAGTCCATATAAAAGGATCTATATTTCTGTTAAATAATGATTTCTGTGCAGTCATAAGGTTCACATTGGCTTCTGTAATGATAATAATCTGAATCAACTGTTTGTTTTTCAAAGCGACAAAAGGCCCCCTGAATGCCCTGGTACGGCCGGAAGCTCTTCCAACTCATCCGAGCCACTGGCAGCAAGAAGTCTGGTGTGAGTGAAACAATCTGCGAGGATGATGGGATGCCAATCACTAACATCCATCGACGTCTTGGACGATGGGCAGAATTTTTCGAAGGGCAGTTCAACTGGCCTGCTGCTCCGGCAACATCGGTCAGACTGTCCTGCCCTCCATGGCCGGTGACGACTGATCCACCAAATGAGGCGGAAGTCCGCAAGGAACTCCAACTCTTGAAGCGTTACAAATCACCTGGCCCAGATGACTTACCTCCGGCTCTTTTTAAAGATGGTGGTGACTTTTTGACTAAGGAATTGACAACGTTGTTTACAAAGGTTTGGGAACTAGAGAGTGTACCAACGTCATGGAATGAGTCGATAGTTGTCCCTATCTTTAAAAAGGGTTCACGTCGTTCTTGTAACAACTATCGGGGGATAAGTTTACTTCCGATTGCGTCCAAGCTATTGGCTTCCGTCATTCTTCGTAGGTTGTTCAAAACCCGAGAAAGATTGACTCGCGAGGAGCAGGCTGGGTTTCGTTCTGGTTGAGGATGTATTGATCATATCTTCACCCTCCGCCAAATGTTAGGCAGGGTTGCCCAATCTCACCATTCCTCTTCAACTTTGCCATCGATGACATTCTGGAAACAGCTCTGATGAATGTAAGTAATGGTGGTGTGGATCTGTTGCCTGGAGAAAGACTTCTCGACCTTGAGTATGCGGACGATATTGTCTTACTGTGCGATAATGCCCAAGGCATGCAATCCGCACTTAATCAGTTGGCAATCAGTGTCCGTAGGTATGGTATGTGCTTTGCACCTTCGAAGTGCAAAGTACTTCTACAAGACTGGCAGGATTCTAATCCTGTACTCACCCTGGATGGTGAGCAGATAGACGTAGTTGAGAAGTTCGTGTATCTGGGTAGCTGCATAAGTGCTGGTGGGGGTGTGAGTGATGAGATCAATGCACGAATAGTGAAAGCCAGAGCGGCTTATGCCAATCTGGGCCACCTTTGGCGCCTTCGTGATGTTAGTCTGGCTGTAAAAGGCCGGATCTACAACGCGTCGGTGAGAGCAGTTTTGCTCTATGCTTGTGAAACCTGGCCTCTCCGAGTTGAGGACGTTAGACGACTCTCTGTGTTCGATCATCGCTGTCTCCGAAGGATTGCTGACATTCAGTGGCAACACCATGTCAGTAATGCAGAGGTTCGGCATCGTGTGTTCGGGCACAGAGATGATAACTCAATTGGTGTCACCATCTTGAAACACCGACTTCGGTGGCTTGGACATGTTCTCCGAATGTCGTCCCAGAGAATTCCACGTCGTGCATTATTTGCCGACTCTGGGACTGGTTGGAAGAAGCGGAGAGGTGGTCAGTGCATGACATGGTGTCGTGGCATGAAAGAAAGCTGCAAAGGACTGGCTTGTGTTGGTCCTTCACGACTCCCTGGTTGGGGTCCGAGAGATGGTGCTACACAGTGGCTAGAGACGTTATCAGATATGGCTCAGAATAGAAGCCAGTGGCGATCCTGCTGTAACCTTCTTTTACTTTCTTCATAAAAAGTGGTTGTGTCTCCCTTACCTGAAAGATTTCTTCTGATTGTACCTCTTCGTCATTACTCTCTTTTTCTTTTGCGTTCCTTAGTTTTTTTTTTCTCTTTCTACTTCTCTTCGAATTCCCATTGTTTTGTGTGGCGCATATATATTGGCGCTCTCTTGTACCAATATTTATGTGTTCAAATAAATAAATAAATAAATAAATAAATTGGCTTCTGAGATTCCCGACAGCTCGGTGAAAAATAAGGTCGTGGTGTAGAAGATGGCGAAAATTATATTTTTTTTACCGTCCATGTGTTATCAGTGTTAATGTTTTCTTATTTTCGAATAAGTTAACTTGGTCATAATACATTCATTCACTGAGATAATATGTATGTATATAGATTAAGATTTTGATTCTCAACAAGGAATGTATGAATAATGGATGTAGTGTCAATTACTTATGTATCATCGTTTCTAACGTCCCTGAATATCCTTATACGGTCGAGGGTGGGGAGATTCAACTCTCTCTCTCTTCAAACGCTCTCACATAGCCACGCGTATACAGCCACTGCCACGGAAGTCCTACTCACTGTCTCCTCGTGATAAGAATGTTGTTTACGAAATTAAGTGGACGAAAAGCGAATGTTCACAGCTCCTGCCGGTTGGTGGATATACAGGATCCATCTAAGTGAGCCGAAAAACTTTGATTCCTAACCAATGGTGTACATAGGTTCCAGGATCCTGATGAAACAAATGAAGTATGAACCTATTGTTGGTCACCAACTATCATGCTACTGAATCTCCTAACGTCATTCTACTGCTTAGTGGATTAGACCTCTGGGTCAAAGGCTCTCGGTATGGTCTCCTAAGAAAACCACCTGTTTCGGTTTTGGCAACCGGGCAGTATCACAGTCGTCACACAAATCAATAATAACTGCTACTGGCCTCATCGTGATTGTGTGGTGCATATATATTTGGTGCCTCCTTGTACCAATGTTTGCACTTAAATAAATAAAACCTCCAATATCATTAGTAGATGCGTTTTTTCTTCTCACTAGGCCATTAGAAAATACTCAGTTTGTTTTTGATATTAGAATAAATCTCCTATGATTTTTGATGTTCTGTTATTTTATTTTGTTTTAAAATTTTATATAGAGAAGAACAAGTTTTGATTGCACTACTGAAATCAAGCAATTTAATTGGTTATGATATAATTAAACCTTCGTTTTCACATTCTCATTTAACAAGAACAAAATGTAAACTTGGTACAGCTAATCGTTCTTCTGGTTTATCAGAATTTACACATTTAGTCACAGAATCCCCTTGTCGAAGAACATTGAAATTATTTCATGCTTTAATTCGTGGTGCACATATTGTTACTACTGATTGGATACGTCAATCAGTAACTTTGAATATGTGGTTATCTGAATCAGAATTTAAAGTAAGTTCCCTTTTTTTCTTAGAACTAAATTACTTTAATTTGAGCCCCCAAATGCCCCGGTATGGCCGAGAGTGGGGTGGGCTCACCCTCCTTCTCTAAATGCTCTCACATGGCCACGCGTATACAGCCACTGCCACGGAAATCCTACTCACTGCCTTCTCGTGGCGGGGGTGTTTTTTACGAAATTGAGAGGACGAAAAGCGAATGTCCGGCGCTTTAACCGCATTAGTGGACGCGGAGAGTTCACCTTGGAGAGTTGGGAAACCCCGATTCCAAACCAATGGTGCACGTGGACCCCAGTATCCTTAAAGAACAAATGGCGTATGAAACAATCGTTTGTGACCGGTAACCATTTAACTGCATCCCCTTACGATGTTACACTGCCTTGTGGATCAGACCTTTTGGTCAAAGGCTCCGGGTGTGGCCCCCTAGGGAAACCACCTGATTCGGTTTGGGCACCCGCGCAGTACCCCAGCCCTCACACAAATCAAATGAGATTTGTTTGGCACATATGTATCTGGTGCCCCGTTGTACCAATATCTATGTGTTCGAATAAATAAATAATACTTAAATGTGATATATTTCAATAATCAAAGTACACATGTATGCATTAATCTTTGATTAGTGACACTGATATATCTAAGATGCAGACTTTGAGATCCATGGATCAGACAGTTGTAATCACTTATTCATCGTTCTTAATTATGTAATATTATTAGTTCATGTACTTGGTTTCAAGATGCAAATCTCCTTTATTAAATAATGATGGTGATTATTCTACTAATCAAACCAGATCTCAATGATCTCAATCAAACCAGAATAGTCAGAGCTAGGTTGCAATCTGCAAATCTGATTGCTGACATATGAATGCCTTAAGCAGTAAAATAACACTTCTTTGGAGAAAAAGTAGATTACATCTGTTAAAAAGTCATTGATTGGATTCAGGCATTTTCTATGCGGGATCACGGTGGAGAACTCAGATTCGCTCATTTTTGTAGCCGATCATCACCAAAGAATAAGCTGAAAAGAGTCTAGAACCCTCCGGTGTATAAACTATAAATATGCCAACATTTTTTAACTTTAACTTCAACCTTAACTTAGTTCTTTCGCTCCTTTGTTTTGGAATATCATGCTTTCTTGTTTAATTGATGTTCTGATTTTGCGGGCTGATCGAGTAAAGTAAGGTGTTCTAAGATTACTAAGCAATAAAGGTAACTGGGTCGGATATGAAAGGCTTAACAGCAAGCCAGAAATATTAATAATTTTTATTATGTTAATGAAACAGAATATCTTTTGGTTGTTCACTGAAATAGCAGCTATATTCTACTTAACTCAAGGTAAGGCTCTTTACTAGAATAGTGATTTCAGTTTAACGATCGATGGAACCAAGAGCACTATAATAACGATAATGATAATGATAAAGCTTCACATCTACGCAAATGCCATTTGCTTTTATCCATTTAGGAGCTAGATATAAGTTTGTTATTAAGCCGTTGGAAGTCAAGTCCTGATATCACTAAATTATTGCTCTTACTAAGACGCCATGCTCGTGGAGTTAATACCCAATAATTTATGTTTATACTTTTAATCGATTCATGATATTGCAGGACCCGAATCCATTATCATTGACATATGTCACAAAACTGAAGTAGTTAAACTTCATTAATTATATTGTCTCACTAGAAGTTAGTCTCTAGTGGATACGTGAAGTAGTATAGAAAGTACTTCTAAGGTAATAATAGTAAACTAAATTCATAAAGTCAACTGTTTGTTGACATTCACAGATTAGTTTCATTCAACGAACAAGCTGTAGATATGTATTTTCTTTTCTTTTGAATCTGTCCATTTAGCCTCCTGGATTACCTCGTTTATCACGTATGCAAAGAATGAATAGATTATTTTCAAGTGTCGGTATTATTTATGTTGATATTGATACAAAACCACCACGTCAAGATCTTGTGGACTTATTGAATTTAGGCGGTGCACTTGTAAGTGTATTTAGTACAATAATCAATAATCATTTACTTCGTGGAATCTTATCATATATTCGTTGTTTTTGATTTACTAATGTCGTTGTTATTACTGAAATTATTGAATTATAAAAAGTACTTATTATCATATCAATTCAATATGATCAAAGTCTATCATTTGTCTGAATATATTACTTGTGAGTAACTATTATTTCACAGCACCATTTACTTTGCCCGCATTTCCTGGTTACTTACGCCTGTTACTCCTCATGAAGGAGCATAGACCGCCCACCAGCACTCTCCATCCAACTCTGTCCTGGGCAGTTCTTTCCAGTTGTTATTCATCCTTTTCACATGTCTGCTTCTATTTCCCGACGTAATGTGTTCTTTGGCCTTCCTCTTTTCCGATTCCCTTCAGGATTCCAAGTTAGGGCTTGCCTCGTGATGCAGTTTGGGATTTGCGTAATGTATGTCCTATCCATTTCCATCGTCTTTTCCTAATTTCCTGTTCAGCTGAAAGCTGGTTTGTTCTCTCCTACAGGATTCCGTTGCTGATGGTATCTGGCCAATTGATGTTGAGTATCTTGCGTAGACATCTATTTATAAATGCTTGTACCTTCTTGATTATGGTTGTAGTAGTTGTGCAAGTTTCAGCTCCATACAGCAGAACCGTCTTGACGTTCGTATTGAAGGTTGTGACTTTGATATTGGTTGAAAGTTGTTTTGAGTTCCATATGTTCTTCAACTGTAGGAATGTTGTTGCTTTGCCAATCCTCGGCTTTACGTCTGTATCTGATCCTCCTTGTTCATCGATGATTCTTCTCAGGTATGCGAAGGATTCTACATCTTCCAGTGTTTCGCCATCAAGAGTGATTGGATTGCTGTTCTCCGTTTTGAATTTGAGGACCTTGGTTTTCCTTTTGTGTATACTGAGGCCTACTGATGCAGAGACTGTTGCTACATTGGCTGTCTTCATCTGCATCTGTTCGTGTGTATACGGTAGGAGGGCTAGGTCATCTGCGAAGTCCAAATAGTCTAATTGGTTCTGAGCTGTCCATTGTATGCCGTGCTTTCCTTCAGATGTCGAGGTCTTCATAATCCAGTCGACCACCAGAAGAAAGAGGAAGGGAGAGAGTAGACAGCCTTGTCTGACTCCGGTCCTTACTTGGAATGCATCTGTCAGCTGTCCTCCATGCACGACTTTGCACTGTAGTTTATCATTTTGTTGGTTAATGTGGTTGATATTCTTCCAGTCATATTGAACCCGTTATTTTTCTGACTTTCCTTGTTTAATCTTGAATACTTTCCAATGATTTAATAAATTCCCGTGTAAATTTATCGCTCAAACTAATAATTTGTTAATGTAAAATCAAATAAATGTTGTAGAAAGCCCCCAAATGCCACTGGTACAATCGATAGTATAGGTAGAGTTCACTCTCCCTCTCGAAATCCTTTCATATGATCCCGCGCATGTAGGTCATGCCAGGAAAGTCCCACCAATCAGAACTCTAGGCTGCTCATAAGTGTTTTACGCGTCCTTGGTCCAATCTATAAATCACTGCTCTCCTATTGGCGGTCACAAGATATAACAATTCCTTCTTATGATTGGAATGCTGTTTACGAAATTGAGGCGAATGCCCAGTTCTTCAACCGGGTTGGTGTGTATAGAGCATTCACCTAGGAGAGTTGGAAAATCCTGATCCCATTAGTTTTCGTCAGAAAGACACATATAATGTGCCGAAATTCGAATATATTACATGTAATAATATTGTTATGATCTGTTGAAAATTTTGATTTGTCATGATTCATACATCATATCAACAGAAACCCTGAATGAATTGGTTTAGGTATAGTTCCTTAATAACGTTTGTGACTCAGCCTGTTGGTAACACTTTAGTGTTTTCAACAATGCATACTAGGTTTTAGGTACAACTAACTGATTAATCTTATATAGAATGAAACCTGCATCCTGGATTTCACCAATAGCCACTATCTGAAAGAGTAACTGTTTTGAATCTTAAAAACCTTTCCTGAGAAGAATTCAACATTAAAAAAGATTAATCTTAATAGTGATAAACCGTATATACATGTAATGTTTTTCCATAATTTGGGCATATATCTATTCTTAATTGCTTCCAAACTATTGGTTTTCCTCGTACTCCAGGTTGTGGAAAACCTGTGAAATAATGATGTGAAAGGAGTAGGCTAGTCTTCATTTAGTTGGTGATTTTATTGGTCACATCTGTAAACGATGTTTAAAAGTTGGGGCTTTAATAGTCAGGTCCTAATTGATTGGAGAATGAGCGACGTAAAAACTGATTTCCTGCAATCTTCAATGACAATTTATCATGCTTATTTTTCGATTAATAAGTTGGTACTTAAACATGCCTTGTTTATAACACTCAATGATCTTGTTTTTAATTTAAAATCATTCGTATACTCACGTTAACGATCCGGTTTCGTACACATCCTTCACTTAACCACATCGTATCATTGTTTTTATGCTTCCTTTTGAATATTCGATAATTATTTCTTAAAATCAACAAAATATTCCTCCGTAACTTGACTTCACCCTCACCCGAATGGTAAAACACCTCCATACTTATTGGAACCCAACAGTTGTTGTATTTCGTGATATTAACATCACCTTCAGTTGATTGGAAACGACTGTGCTCTGGGGATCGCCCGTTAAAAAATGTGTCTGAAAAAATGTATTAATAGCTCAAAGTATTTGTACATAAATACCTCAGATAGAGTGACCCGATACAGTCACTTTTCTCCATTTTTCCAATCCAGTAGGGGGATGAGAGAGGGGTATCCGATCTCACCATTCCTATTCAATTCTGTCGTCAATGACATTCTGGAAATAGCTCTAAATCAAGTATGTGGTGGTAGTGTTATAGAACTATACTAAAATCTATCTTCATTAAACGAAGGTAATAGTACTTCCCATTTCAGTTTTTGTTATTTACACTTTTTCACTTCACACTTTGTTAATTATCTTTTTCTCTCTTGATGTGCTGATATAACTTATAGCCTATTGGGTTGACATACATCTATACCAAACTCTTTACATCATTATTTGTGATATAGTTAGAACAAAATATAGTAAAGACATGGTTTTTTGATAGTTGAGATCCTGAGTCAATTGAAGCTAGACCACCATGAAAAACCTGAAAGCACTGGATGGTCGCTTCGTCCCAGTATGTGACTCCTCAGCAGTGCGCACCCACGATCCCGCCTCTCCAGATTCGAACCCAGGACCTATCAGTCTCGCGCGCGAACTCTTAACCACTAGACCACTGAGTCTGCCGGTATCCGATTGTATTAATATCTAGCTTCAACTAATCCACGAAATTGATTGACACATCCACCATTGTCTTCAGTGAGTCGCTATCTCACAACAGACGCGGTTGAACTCTATTGATCACTGTTTCTCACTAGAACTCCAGGATATACCTCTTGAAGCCAGTCAGTAGTGAGCATATGTTGATTAGTATCAGAAGGGGTTTTGTGGATATTATAATAATTTTAATAGTTGAGATCATGAGTCAATTGATGCTAAACCACCATGGAAATCTTGGAAGCACTAGATGGCCGTTTCATCCTATTGTGGAACTCCTCAGCAGTGCCCATACACGATCCCTCGCGAAATTCGAACCCAGGACCTATCAGCCTCACGCGCAAGCGACCACTGAGCAGACCGGTATCCAAAGGTGTTAATATCTTACAGAAAAAAGTATTCAAAATCACCTTATCTTTCAACCTACACACATTTTATCTTTATCTTTTTTCTTAATTTTTAGCTTACCAATAGGAAAACAGAAGCTACAGTTCTTATCGGTTGTAATATGTCAAATAAAATATGTATTAAACCGAAGTGGATTTTAGGTAATTCAGTTTTTCTTTTTATTTCATCATGAACTAACCTCAGTTAGGAGATAACGTTTCTTATTTCTTAATTATTAAAGAGTGGATTTGTCAGAAGTAGTCATTAAGGATGAAGAGGAAAGGAATGGTAAAAATTTGGCTAAAATTTGATTTGGATTTAGATGGTGTTTTTAATTTATTTATTTAAACGCATAAACATTGGTGCAAAGAGGCATCAAAATATATATGCGCTACATAAATCATTAGAATTGGGAGGGGGTAGGATACTTCTCGGCTGCTCAAACTGAAGCAAGTAGTTTTCTAAGGGGGCCACACCCAGAGGTCTAATCCACTAAGTATTAGAACGATGTTAGGAAATGCAGTAGCATGGTAGCCGGTGACCAACAATAGGTTCATACTTCATTTGTTTCATCAGGATCCTGGAACCTATGTACACCATTGGTTAGGAATCAAAGTTTTTCGGCTCCCTTAGGTGGATCCTGTATATCCACCAACCGGTAGAAGCTGTGAACATTCGCTTTTCGTCCACTCAACTTCGTAAACAACATTCTCATCACGAGGAGGCAGTGAGTAGAACTTCTCTGGCATTGGCTGTATACGCGTGGCTATGTGATAGCGTTTGAAGAGAGAGAGAGAGAGTTGAATCTCCCTACCCCCAACCGTACCAGACCTTTAAGGGGCTAGTGGTAACAGAATATCTAGCAATCGTGTTATAGTGAAATAAATCCAAGACTGCATTAAATAACTATTGTAATATGCATTGTATTGAAGTGGATTTAAGCTATCCAGAGTGTCTCAATGATTTATACATCAATATAGTAATGAAATGTGATTAATAGATAGCTAGGAAACCAAACCAAGTCATCTTAGAAGAATTCGCGTATATGAGACATTCGTATCTATAACATAACTGAACACAAATTAACCAAAAGAATTGTACTAATGCATTTAACAATCACATACTTAATCAAGTACCGTATTCTTGTTACGACTTACTGATTATTCATGTACATACATACCACATACCAATTCTATTTTTGACTTATCCAATAATCACTTCCCTTGGTTCTTCCATCTTCTGATTTATGACTGCGGGGCGTTCTACACGTTCTAATACTGTTAGTTGTATATTGCATTCCCCCAAAATCAAGTGGACGACGTAACTAATATGTGGGCGAGGAAAATAATAATTAGTTACTTGATTAGTCAAACTAGTAGATAATGTGACAAGTACTAGATGAGTTATATATTTTCCTACCCTTGTTGCTATCGTGATTGTTATCACTTTTTGATGTGTAAATATACTTACGTTCTAGTCAGGCTAATCACATGTTCTTGATCTGAGTTGTGTCGAAGTCCTGTAGAATATAGACTGGGGGAGGTTTCCTTGTGTAGTTATTCGTCTAAGGCAAATTAATGTCCAGTATTATAACAGTAAGAATTCCAAAATAATATATAAAGTCATTTGAATTTAACAAATCTATATTATTATCAGAACGTGGGTTTTGTGCAATTTGTAGTAATTTAATAGTTGAATTCATGAGTCAATTAAAGCTAGACCATCATGGAAAACCTAGAAGTACTGGACGGCTAAGGAATCTCATACTAAGACGAAATGGCCGTTCAGTACTTCAAGATTTTCAATGATTGTCTAACATCGATCAATCCATGATCTCATAATTGTTTAACCCTGTCAATTTTGATGTTCTTTACACATTTAATATACTCAAACTTTCATAATATCAATGTATTTATTTATTCATCTCTCTTCATATAGATTCTATATTTCAAGCCAAATTATTAGCATTGACAGATTATGAAATGTAGACTGGATTAATATTGTTTAATTTCACTTTTCAATGTACATTCATCTAAGTCTATTCTCATATTGTAATTTTCATCTTAATTAGTTTTCATTTGTTTGTTTTTTCTTTCTTTCTTAACTGTACATAAGTTTTGATTGAGATCATGAACCGATTGATTTTAGACCACCGTTGGAAATCTGGAAGCACTGGATGGCCGTTTCGTCCTATTTTGGTACTCCACTGATTCCAGGTTTCCAACGATAGTCTAACATCAATTGGTTCATGATCTCAATCAAAAACTTAATAATCTCCACAATTCCTATACTGATAACTAACTGTGTATAAGTTTTTTCTTCATTAAATACTTACTTTTGGTTGATTGTTTACTTTGTTTAATAAATTTCATTTGTATAGATTTATTTTGTTTTACTTTTGACATATGTTTATTTATTTATTTGTTTATTCAAACACATAAACATTGGTGTAAAAAGGCACCAAATAGATATGCGCCACATAAATCATTCGATTTATGCGAGGGCTGGAATACTGCCCGGGTGCCCAAACCGAAGCAGGTGGTCTCCTTAGAGGGCCACATCCAGAGCCTTCGACCTGAAGATATTCGTTCTGAATTTCGTAAACAACACCCCTGCCTCGATAAGGCAGTGAGTAGAACTTCCCAGGTAGTGGTTTTGTGTACGTAGCCACCCTCGACCGCACCAGGGCATTTTGGGGGCTATGCTTATTTGAATAACCCTATTGTTGTTCACTATGATTCAATGAAATTTTTGCTATTCACTGCCTAAGACAAACTAAGTGTGATCAGTATGAGGAAAGATGGACCAGTCTCTTATCGGCATATGTGCATACTATGCGTACTGTCTCGATATCGCCTTAATTCATAAGCATTATAAGCAAAGATGGACAGTGGTTAGCAGTGGATCTATGACGCGCGTTTCGTCCTATTCGGGACTCGTCAGCTAGATGTACCTGCATCTCAAGTAAATAATACCAAGTAAATTTAAGTATGATCAGTGTTTAAACTTTACTTCTTATTACATTTTTCATCAATGTGTAAAAACTAGGTAGCCGATTTGTTGTCCAATGAATCAAGTTGCCTAAATCTCGCTGGATGATTCAAACAAGCCTTAAAGTAGAACTTTTTCTTGGATATATCGTGTTAATTCTTTTTGCGAAATTTGAAGTTGGATTTCATTACAAATTGATTTGATTTATCGAAATCTGATTCTTTCTAATTTGTGATTCCTCCGTTGTGAGTATGTAAAACCTCACTCTCGATTAAAGACATGGAATTCAGATCTGCCAGCGAATACAATATTTTTCGATCATTACATTGGACTGCAATGGTGTATATTCGAATTTAGTCACTTTAGCCAGCATGATCAGTGGGTTATCGTTTGACTTCCAATGTGATGCGTGCCCGATTCTGTAGAGTTTTCAACGAGGAAGAAACAGTTTAATAATAGTTCTCTAGCTAGCCTCGAATGATTAACTATATTGGAGATTTTGTAAAATCGTTCTTATTTTCCTGCTAGATCGTTAGAAATGTTTTGAATGTGGTCATTATGTAGACAGATCAGATATTCTGTGCATAAGGCACTTATCTTTCAACTAATAGGTTCCAGATTTGAACTCTACTTCACCTTCTGTTTGAACATCTCACCAATGGTACAAGTGGGCCTCACAAAAGCAATGTGGCTTATGGTTGAACAAATATTAACTATCCGAATGACTAGTTTCTTCATTTTTAAACTGTCAGTCTGCGGCGTACTACTTCAAACATCTGTCTATTTAAGTAACACCAATACAATTAAGTCTAATTGCATAGTTTGAACATATTGAAAGAACAAAATATATTAAACTAATGGTTAGTTAGACCAAGTTGTTGGATTATTATTTGTGACAACTGAATGATCCCTATTATCATTTCTAAATGTTCACTTGACATACTGGTTGAATTTCAAAAGTTCAGATCAGAAACTTAGGATCTGATCTTTATTATTATTAAGGTTACTGGGTTTTGTTCCCGCGAAAGATTGCTTGTAATTAAACGAATGTATATATCCTACTTTGAATAAATGTTTCTTTTTTTTCTAACTACGAACGGTTTTCATTTATCTCATTGTATGTATAACCTACAAGGCTTCTAATAAGTAATTAATGACATTACAATGTATACTACATTTAAAAGTTTCAATCTTTGTTCTTAGTCGATAATATGCAGTCTTTCTTGTATCATCTCAAAATGGTTTAGAATAGATTATTCATAAAAAACTGTAACATCAGATGTTACTTTTAGGCATTTGTTGATTATGACCCCTGAGATTATTGAAATCTAAAGGTTCTCACTGTACATGATTCTAACTGATCTGTTAGTTGTATTCTAATCTTTCTTTCGTAATCTGAATAAACCGAACAAGTCAATGTCTCAAAAGTAGTTTACGAAGTCATGTAGATGTGGGCCACCACTTTTCTATATAGGGATAAGTTTCGTAATCCAGCTTCCTATTCCATCCTGTTTCTTTCTTCTCTTTAATTGAACTCATCAAGCATTGGGAACGTATATATTATCTAAACTAGGTAATACCTCATAACAACACCCACCATTTAAATTCAATTAGTATTGTTTACTTGAATCTTCGAATTGATGTTTAGGACTGATCAGTCCCAGAGTGAACAACTCTAAAATGCAGTTACATCCAGTTGACGAGTCCTAAACAGGACGAAACACACAGTCTTGGATTCCACTTCTAGCCGCTATCCATCTATGCTTATAACTTGCCATTCAGTTTCAAATACACTTGAGTGTCATTATTTGCATACAGTATCTGTTATACATCAGAATACACTTTCAACTTGACAACATTTGATTCTTCTACAACCTTATCGTCTTGTGTAATAATGTATATAAATTTCTTTTCGTATTTTATTATGTACGAAGTAAAATAACTAATTATCTTGTATATTTTTTATAGTTGATTATTAGCTTTATTCTATTGTGAATGAAATTCCGTATCAAAACAAATGATCCTGGATGTATTGAAAATTTCTCCAGTAAGTTTACAATTTATGAACGAACCAATCATATTTAAGCTCACAAATTTTGAATTTTGGCGCAATATTCTCATTCACTTATTTGATTAAATATGGATGGATTTATCCTCAACGTTTCTATATGAGCCTAATGTATCACCCAGTGTAATAACGGTCATGTCTACGTTCATGTAATCATAGAATTTGTCATTTTATAATATGTTTTTTATTAAATAAGTAGATTATGCTGTAAATTTTGCTCTGATTGTAATTTTTATTCGCCACATCCGACTGCGTTACACTGTACGTTCATTGCATGCTGGAATGATATCTCAAGTCATAGTAGCTTTAATCACATCGTTGATTGTTTCCAGATAGACCGACAGTGTATAATGTTACTGAAGAAAGGTTTGTTGTGCTGTAAACTATGTTTTTATGAACAACTGACTGTTGTCTTCAGTCTCATAGCAATATATATTTCCTTTGTCTTCTGCTAGGTAAGTTCGACTGGCCTATAGTTCGTGTTTTAGGTTTATTGGCTGAATTCAATCCACTTAACTACTTTGAGTAACATGTCTGTGCAAATGAAACAATAATTATGACACTTGCTTAGTTTAGTATTCTTGTTTGTTGTATAAGTCAGTTTAGTCTATAGAATTATAGTATACTTAAGTATAGTGCTTGAAGCCTGTAACGAAACAGATCAGTTTAGTAAGTAGAGCTGCCTGTTTTTAATGAATATACTGATTCAAATCAGTCTGATTAAAAATAGGAAAAAAGTGCCTTTGGTACTGTTGATGTATGACATGTCTTACATTATAAGATAGCTCTAAGTATGTTTGGTGTTTATTTGTAGATTGTACATCTAGCACTGACCATATTTCAAGATCACTGTCATTAAACAATTTCCCCAACAATAACATCGGTAGCAGGATAGCTAAGTGTCTGAGCTTTTACTTGCCTACAAAACAGCAGTATACAGTCCTAGAAGAAGAGTGTTCTGTCTTAAATAAATGCTGATGGTTGTGGACAAATGTTAAAAATCTTTTGACAACTAGGGCATTATAGCTGATGTCAGTTGGTAACGAAATCATGAAATCTAATTTCTAACCCTAACGTTCAACTGTAAATCTTAATCTTAGTTCCTCAAACTAATCTATTATCCTCATTTAACTATGGTAAGTGGACATCTCAAGGTCATTTTAGTGTTGCTCAAAGGTCATCCATAAATTATAGTCTCACCGATAATATCATCTTCAATTGTGACATTATTTATCAGATATTTCTAAGCAGTTGATTAAAAAGGTGCTCAAATCATATCAAACATTCATTCCAAATTGAAACCTGATGTCACTACTGTTTTGTAATCATGATCTGTTTGTTAATTTGTTTTGAAATATGTATTTGTAAATACCCTATACATGTGTTACTCAGGTATAATTTCGCTTTCTATTAATGCTCCTCTCCTCAAGATGACTTGTTTAATGTAAATCCATATTAAGTAATTACCCTAGAATATCTTGTTTCCTAAATACATCAAATTTAATACAATAGTGTTGTTACACTACAATCTGAACTTTCAGCTATTGAATCTAAAGGTGCAACACTCCTTACACTTCTGGTTTAGGTACATAGTTTTCTTTTTGCATAAAGCATACATACAGTAAATGAGGTCAACTAGATACATTTGATTATGATTATCAAGTCGCACTTTAATTTTTAAGCCTCATACACTTTATAATTTCAAAATCAAACAATTCCAAATCATAATTTCTTATGTTTATTTTATTATTTTATTTCAACACATAGATATTGGTACAAAGAGGCACCAAATACATATGCGCCACACAAATCTCATTCGATATGTGTGAGGGTTGTAATACTGCCCGGGTGCCCAAACCGAAGCAGGTGGTTTTCTTAGGGGGCCACACTCCGAGCCTTCGACCTGAAGGTCTGATCCACAAGGCAGTGGAGCATCGTAAGGAGATGCAGTCCCATGGTATCCGGTGACCAACAATTGGTTCATACTTCATTTGTTCCTTCAGGATACTGGAGTCCATGTGCACCATTGGTTTAGAATCCGGTTAAAGCACAGGACATTCGCTTTTCGTCCTCTCATTTTCGTAAACAACAGCGATGCCACGAGAAGGCAATGAGTGGGACATCCCTGGCAGAGGCTATATACGCGTGGCCATGTGAGAGCATTTCGAGAGGGAAAGCGGACTCTCCCCACTCTCGGCCGTACCAGGGCATTTGGGGGCTTATGTATAATTAAATATCAAAGGAATTTCTTGGTAACAGTTTTTCAGTCAGTCAGTCAGTCACAACGTAGAACTTCGTACGTACGTACATCAGTTCGAGTTGCCATACCACATTAGCACACAGATACAATTATCGATTCAAATCCCATAGTGGTAGAGGTAGTAAAATTATAAGCAGTAATCGGAGTGATTAGGGTTTCAAGATGTTATTCAAGGAGTATAATCCAGGGAAATAAATTTGGAAATAAAAGAAGGACATAGAGAATTCAGAAGATTAGAATTTTGGAGAAAACAAAGAGTGGATGCACCTGTACCATTGCAAACGATTTTGAGCCATGTCATTTAAGGTCTCTGACCATCGGTTGCTGTCATCTCGCAGATCCCAACCAGGTATTCTACACCTACCAACATGACTCAATCCACTTGTCAATGACTTCATAGATTTGTGTCATGTTTTGGTCTTGCGGCCCCTAGCTTTCTTCCAACCTACTCCTACACCACAAAACATCGCTCGTCGGGGCAGTCGATGGTTGGTTGAACTTACTTAACGTATGTCCCAGCCATCTCAACTGACGAAGTTTTATTACTTCATCAATTGATTTGCCATTCTTACTAACAGTTTTTACTGTTAGATTTATGCATTAAAGGTTTTTGCTGCTGATATTCTAGTTGAATTTTTGACCATTTTCTTTTACCATATAATCTTCAATCCATACCATGTATACAATTAAAATTTTACTCTAATATTGGTTTAAGTTCCAAAAAATTCATTTACATTGTTATAAACGACTTCAGCATTCTGAAAGCTTCTATAGTAGTAGATGATAGATTTATAAGTAGATTGTTATGACTTTAAGCCCAGCTAGTTATCATGTGATTTATTCACTAATCGAAATACGACTTATTCAATCTTGATACTGTACTAAACCAATGACGTACGACCGTTATGAGCAGCCTGACATCTTTATTGGTCCTTTGTTCTCCTAACCCGTCCAGTTAAGTCCAGAACGCCAATAACAGCTTCTACTATGCGAATCATTTATTTCAAATATACTTGGTTTATATATAGTTTATTTCATAACTAATAATTGGTTTAGTTTTAACTGTTTACTGAATTCGGATTTGATCTATTATCATTCTCAATACAAATCATAATAACAACTCCTTATCTATTTGGCAAAGTTTCTGATAAAATGCAGTTGTCTATTAAGTGCCATGTAAATGATGAGAAATTGTTTGGAATGCTTTTAATGAAAAATATTACTTCTGGACTGGTTCGATTCGATGTCCAACTTCATCATAGAGAGTGAGGTAGCTGAAAGCGTTGGTTTATTCGCTTATCTAAAATTCCTACTAACCTCGTAGGTTGATTGATAGTTAGTGAATTTTTCATACACATTCACGAAGGTTGATTGATATTTGCCAACCTGATTTACATATAGTACGAAAAAGATATCTGACCGTATTTAGACACGATTACTGTTCAACTGTCCTCTGTTTTTGTATTTTATGACTGTGAAATGTGGCCTTTGAGAGTAGACTAATATTTGATGATAAATATCGTCAAAGCATCGCTCGCATATAATGGAATAGCTCAGTAAATATTATCGTGGTTATACATAATTTACTAGATAAAGATGGAAAACTAGTTGATAAAGCGGCGAATCCTCATCAATTCAGGTTGTTTAGATGTTAGTTATTTATTATTTATTTGAAGAAACAAACATTGGTACAAGAGGGCACCAAATGCATATACACCACACAACAATTACCATTGATTTGTGTGAGGGCTATGATACTGCCCGGGTGCCCAGACTGATGCAGGTAGTTTTCTTGGGGACTACACCCAGAGCCTTCGACTTAACAATCTTATCCATAAGCCAGTGGAGCAACGTCTGGAGATGCAGTCCCATGGTAGGCGGTGACTAACAATAGGGAGAGCTGACTCTCCCTACCATCAACCGTGCCAGGGCATTTGGGGCAGATATAAGTTATGAATACCTAAGCAACAAATATTCAATACCAGCTGGAATGGGAGTAAACTAGAAGAGAGCTGGAATAAACCAAACCAAGTCATTGAATCAGCCTATGAAGTCATTGGTCTAAGTTCGGTTAGTTAGTCCATACTACATTCAGTGCAATAACTACAACTAACGGCTGGATACGTTGGATGACATAACTCAACTTCAAGTACCGTGGCGCAGATACATCCAACATTTATCTTCCTGATTTTATGTTTCGTTATACTTTTATTCCACGAATTTATCCCTTCTTTCTTGACTGTATTCTCTATGTTTAATCTTTCTCGCTATCATTGGTGCTGTTATTATTATGTCAACACGTTTGCTATTTATTTTGCTAATTCCATGCCCTGGTACGACTGAGGATGCAGAGAGTCAGCTCTCGTTCTACAAATGCTCTCACATGACCGCTATCATGGAAGTCTTAGTCAATGCCTTCTCAAGGCAGGGTGTTGTTTACGAAGTTGAGAGGACGAAAACAGAATGTCCGACTCCTTAACCGGGTTAATAAAAACGGAGAACCCATCTAGGGTAGTTGGAAAAACTTGATTCCAAACTAATGGTACACACGGGCTCCAGGATCCTGAGGGAACAAATGGCACATCAACCTGTTGTCAGTCACTTGCTATCATGGAACTGCACCTCCTAATGTTGCTCCACTGCTTTGTAGTTTAAAAATATCTTATCAGTTGAATTTATGTCTATCTTGTTTCAGAATTGTATCATCTAAGTATTTTTAGAAGAAAAAAAGAATCTGCTTTGTTTACTTGTTCTACTATTTTAAACAAATCCCTACTAATATCAAGTAGATTTCATTAGGAATTTTCTAATCTTTCTGTTTTCATCCTTCAGATATTGTTCAAATGATTGCTGGATTAGCAAAAAATGTGATTTTACATTTGAACAAAAATCAGTTATTATTTATTATTAAAGAACGATCTGTATTTGTGGAGTTACAGCATGGTGTGATTTAGATCTTGTAAGTTATGAGATTCTATTTTTATTCTCAATTAGTATGAATTAAAAAACACATAGTACAAAAATACCCCTCTTAACTCAGCATAATGGTTTTCATTTGAGATGGTGGAGAAAATTTGTAGCTTAGATGGATGATTTTGATAGAGTTTTGTTCTCTGAGTTGGATTGTTTAGTTGTGGAGCTTTCATCGTTCTTCTGAATGACATCATCAGCGCAAACTTCAGGTAGAAGTGAAGTGTTCGGATTTCTCTATATATGACTCACAGATTGTCCTGTACACGTCGATGTTGATTGGTTGACATAAACCTGTCACTGTTTACTTGATTGTCTTCATTGTATCGCCCATTGGTTTGAAGTTTGGTCCTATATTTGTCCGTAATTTTCCTGATTAGTTGATAAATTGAATCGATTTCAATGTGTTTGTTGATTGATCTGAGTGCCAAGCTTCTAAAAATTCTCTGGTGTTTTTCAAATTGTCTCTATCCAAAATTTTCCAGTCGAATGTGTCCGCAGACGCAGACGCCCTCTTCATCTCCGTCTGCATGAACATCAATTAGCAGTCAAACGCCATGACATGTCGTCACTTATATCAATGCACGTGGACAACTGCGGACACACATTCGACTAGAAAATTTTGGATAAAGGCAATTCAAAAAATGTTGGAGACGTGAGATCCCCAGAACTCACTTAGGATCAGACCTAATTTTGTAATTTCATTTGGAAAATTTGAATTTCTTGTTTTTCGCACCAAAAGCGCTCTTGTCACCTTCATGTCGTATTTCCCACTTAGACGAATCTTAGATGCTATTGGTCCGTTGCGTCTTTTAGTATGCTATTTGGTAACTCTCCCCAAGGACGGTTTTGTGCTGTATATATACGTTTTGATTTGCGTTTGTTTTTATCGCTCGTTTCTGGCTGTTTGCAGAATATACTTCCCCATTCCAAGCTTGGACTTCTTTGCCTAGTTAGCGGGGCTGAGACGCATCAGATAGCTAGCTTATTGGTTTTCGGTCACTGAGTCTTTGTTCCGTTCGCAGTCTAAGTGAACTCGTAACCGCTTCAAACCTAGCAAATTTGGCGACGTGGGTGGAGCAAACATGAATCCCGCTAAAGTGGAATTATTGCTCGAGCAGCAGATGAAACGTATTCAGATGTTAGCAGATGCAAAGCTTACGTCTAATACTCAACCAAGCAGTTCTAATCCTACTACTACCGCACCATCAGTTGATGGTATCGCTAACAGTATCTCCGAGTTTCATTACGACCCGGAATCCAATGTCACGTTTGATATGTGGTTTCGATGTTACGAAGACCTATTCAAATTTGACTTTACTAATCAAGATGATGCTTGGAAGGTCCAATCGCTGCTTCGAAAATTGGGTCCTAGTGAACTAGACAGGTATTGCAACTTAATTCTGCCTCTAAGCCCACGCGACCACTCATTCTCGGACAATGTTCAGTCATTGAGCCAACAATTCGAAGACAACTCACTATTCAATGCGCGCTATCGATGTTTGAAGCTCACCATAAACAAAGATGCTGATTTTCTCACACATGTGGGTATCGTCAACCGAGGATGCGAACGCGTCCGGTTGAAGTCGCTTATTGAAGACCAATTTAAAGCACTCATTCTCATCTGCAGCCTTCAATCGCAGAAGTACAGTGACATTAGAACACGATTGGACGAAGATCCAAAACTAACTATCGCAAATGAATATCAACTTCTAATCAATCTGCAGCGTGACACTACGATGGTCCAGCGTGGTGGTTCAGATCATACTGAAGTTCATGTAGCCCAACAGCCACCCAACCCGCATAAATCTGCCCTAGCGACACCTAGTTCAGGTCAGCAGACAAAAACAAATCCTCCTGCCCCCTGCTGCAATTCAGTGCATGGCACTTTGTTCGAAACTGTCAGTATAAACAACATCTGTGCAGGAAATGTAAAGCTGTGGGCCATAAAGACGGTTTTTTTTCAAAAAAGAAGCCGAGCAGCTTCAGAGGTACCAGAAATCCTATTCATAAATCCAGCACGAGTTTGTTTAGTCTAATAGCAAGCTGTTATAACTCTACCCCAGGTGAGAGAAAATATATTGCCATTAATATTAATGGGCGTCCCTTAAGCACCGTATGCCATCTGGTGTGACAACCCCATGAACCTGAAGCATATACGAAGAAGCTAATAACAGAGTTTTCAACCATTTTCCAGCCTGTATTGCGTCAGTACACCGCTATGAAAGCAACACTTCGGTTAAAACCTGAAGCTAAGCCTGCCTTCCGTCCAAAGAGACTAGTGCCGTACGTAGCATTATCGAGAGTTGACGAAGAACTAAACCGCCTTATTCTGCTTGGGTAGCACCCATCGTGGTTATTAAGAAAGCAAATGGTACAATTAGAATATGCGCAGATTTCTCAACAGGTCTTAACGCAGCCCTAGAACAACATCATTACCCGTTGCCAGTTCCCGCAGATCTGTTCACTATGCTAAATGGCGGAAAGTTTTTGCAAAACTGGATCTCGGTGATGCCTATCTACAAGTGGAAGTGGCTGAAGACTTGAGAGAGTTACTTACCATAAATACTCATTGTGGCTTGTTTCAGTACAATCGCCTACCATTTCGTGTTAAGACAGCTGCATCTACTTTTCAGCAACTAATGGGTACCATCCTATCGGGTATCCCGGGGTCGCAACTTATCTCGATGACATCTTAATTGTTGACACATCGCTAGAATAGCTTCGAGAACGCACGACAGCTGTACTACAACGTGTCAGCGATAACGGATTCCGATTACACCCAGAAAAATTCCAACTTTCCTTGAAGTCAGTAAAGTACTTGGGATTCATCTTTGATGCCTCAGGTCGCAGACCAGACCCTGAAAACATCCGAGCTATAAAACTGATGCCGGCTCCCACTAATATCTCTGAGCTACGATCATTCCTGGGATTAATTAACCATTATTCAGCTTTTGTTCCGTCGATGCATGACATACGCGCCCCACTAAATTATGTTCTGAATAAGAATACCAGCTAGAACTGGACAAAAGAATGTGAAGCTGCATTTTGCAAGCTGAAAACCATCATTAGCTCCGAACTGTTATTGACGCACTAGGACCCATCCATGCCAATCATTGTGGCTGCAGATGCTTCAGCTTTTGACTTGGTGCTGTCATCTCACACCAGTTTGCGGACGCAACAGAAAAAGCTATTATGCATGCATCTCGCACATTAACTCCAGCGGAAAGAAAGTACAGTCAAACAGAGAAAGAGGCTCTCGGTTATATCTGGTCGTCGCTGATTGTTGTGTCGGAAAATGCCGATCACTTATACTCGGAACGAAGGGACCTCCGCAATTCCCACGACACGAAAGTAAGAACATAAGACTGGTATAAGTGAAGATTTATTAGTCCCAAAATACTATGACGACGATTCTAGTCGAAAATACACTCATTTATATATTGATTGTACATCCATTTTTATTAATAATTAGGATGAAATCACATCTATGAAAAATACTTAGAGTTATAACAAATGACATACTGAGCATAGTTCATGTCAATGGAATACAAGAATATCGTATATTATAGAGAATAAAAAGATCATACGAGAATAGAAAGCAAATACTACATTGAATAATCATGACATTGAATCAGAGCGGAAGTGATTTTGATAAAACTGATTATTAGTAAATCAATTAAATTTTGACTTTTCTTTCCACCATATCACTCTCGCCCTTGTGTTTGTAGTACGCCGTTTCCACAAATTCTTGTACGGTCGAAGATTTACTCTTCTCACAATTTTCGGTTCAAAATTTGGTGTTCCAGCCCACTCTGCAAACCGACTCCAGCGATGAGCTTTGATACTTTTGGGTTACGATTATGACATTCAGTACCGGCGCACCCAACAGTTTGGTCAGGCTGACGCCTTGTCACTACTTATCAGCGAACACCATACGGCCGACTAAGATGCGGTTATTGCCTCCCTAATGACAATGTTACCTGACAACTGCTGTTCGTGCTTTGCCAGTCTCAGCAGCTGAAATACAGTCTGCCTCCGGGAACGACTCCATCATTAAGAGAGCGATGAAATACGTCACCAATGGCTGGCCCGTCAACTGGACTCGATGGTTGACTTGAAGCAACTTTACCGCCGTCGGGACACATTATCTGTCGTAAATGAATGCTTGATGTTTGAAGATAAAGTGGTGGTACCAGAGTCCCTACGATCAAGAGTGCTAAAGCATTTCCACACTGGTCATCCTGGTATAAAACAAATGAAATCCATCGCCAGAAGCTATGCTTATTTGCCCCTCATGCACCAACACATCGTGGACTTAGTAGGCAAGTCGGTAGATACAGACTACCTGGTTGGGTTTCGCTTGTTTGTCGTAATCAGTGTTTGTATTCTTTGAACTGCATGGTGCAGAATCGATCACAACTGTGTCGAAACAAACTTAGAAACATTGAAAAGCTACATCAGCTGTGCTCTTAAGTTTCTATGTTATTTCTTTTTAATGCGTTTCTTTTACCTAATCTCAGGCAATATTATTTCCTGAACGTATATGTGAAGGAATTTCACCGGATCAAAATGAAATATTCCTGGAATTAAATATCGATCATTTACTGCATTGTATTCGTCCGAATACTCAATCTACATCTAGTCGTAATCCTTTATACAATTCAAATTGCACATCGAACTCATATACAACAGTGAATAAATCTCGAATTGGATCTAATTCTGTAACAGGAATGATTAGTAATTTAGATCAGTCAGTTTGTCGACTACTTGGTTTGAAAATAAAATTAGTTAGACGTAAAACTCCTTGTTTAGCAATTGAATTGGATCAGGTTGGTATTTTTTTTTTAAATCTTGCATAAAATCCCGTTCATTGTGTTAATTCACTATCAACCACTGGCATATTTAGTTAGAATTTAAGTTTGTTAATAAATGTAACATTTTTCAGAATTTTGAACAGAATCAACCAAAAAGTGATTGTTTTTCACATATTGAAATCATGAGTCAATTGAAGCTAGCCCACCATGTAAAACCTGGAAGCACTGGACGGCCGTTTCGTCCTACTATGGGACTACTCAGCAGTGCGCATTCACGATCCCGCAACCCGCGAGATTCGAACCCAAGATCTATTGTTTTTTATTTCACTAATTTGAAACTTTTAAATTACATACATATAGCTGGATCTGATAATCCAATACCCCATCCTTACTGGCTTATCTTCAAACTTCCTTCAAAAATTCGTAAATCTGATAAAGTGAAGGTTTATAAAGGGTAGTTCTAGTTGGTATGGAGAACTGTGTTACCACTTTTCCAATTCCATTTATCCGCAACGACGTTTGCTGTTATCTGATTAGCTATTATTTGCTAATTTTATCATCTTACGGTTATTTTATGTTACTATATATGAAGTGTTGTTTCATTTCAAATTTGACTCAAGGTTTTTCTACACTATTGTCTTTTTCCTGGGTTATGTTGTTTACGAGATAAATGTTGAAAGATTGTTTGTAATAGTAGCTGTACTTATCGAGTTTCGAGTAAAGCTTTACTATAACCCCGAACGACCTAATCTTCGATCGTTATCTGTAAAATTTATATTTGATTCGATTTTGATATATACACCGTGAACCTGAAGTAGTTTCTACGTTCACCATTCGTTCGGTGGTATGGTACAGCCTTATCAGAGTTCTCATTAGTTTCTGTCCATAATTAGAAATTGCCATAACTTGGTCGAAAGATTTATCAAATATAATAAAAAACTACCTCAGCATTTTACTCTTTCCCATCGTCTGATCTTGTTGCAATATACTTTCTGAATTCTGGTTGTAGTCTCGGTTTTTGGGGGACTATGCTAACAGGTGGTTATAGAGGGAATAATGCATACTTTTGATGTGCATATTTTGTGCTACTCCGTCTTGCTTCCGGAAACAATACGTAACCATACACAACAAAGCGAACCCTACTTGTAAACTAAATCATATAACCTTATTTGAGGATCCGCAACAGTTCATACGTATAACTGTCTACGAATCCAACCCAGGAGATTCATGTCTCACTGTGAATAAGATACAACTGTTGAGTTATACCCCCTCAATTCTGATATCCTTCGAGTCAGTGTTTGTCTTCAACTAAAATTCTTCATATACTACAACTGGATGCTTATTTTTGTTTTCTCTAAACATTTAGTCAAGTGTTACAGGTCATCCACGCGCTGTTTGGCATTTTATTCCCGTTCAAGTTGTACCTCCTCGTTTATGGGATGAATTTGTTGAGCTACCAGATCCAGATTTTAATGTAAGTGTTAAAATAAAGTCATGTTTTCATCTATAGAAAATGTATCATTGTTGATTAGTAGTTAATAATAACAAAATAAAAATTACTTTTACATTAATTAACCATAGATTACAACTATCTCTCTGACCTTGATCAGAAAAGTATGTATTTCGCGACTGATATGTCTTAGACCAACAGTCAATGACTTCTAGAACTGAAGTTTGGGCTTAGCCACTACTAGCTTCTATGATGTCCTCTTATCCACACTTTCAAACGCTTTCGTATAGTCAACGAAGTTGATATATGGTGACGTGTTCCATTCACTTGATTGTTCAACGATGATCCGTAGTGTTACAATCTGGTTTGTATGCAGTTGGTCCTTATGGAATCCATCTTGTTGACCTCGAAGTTTGGCGTCTACTGAGTCTTTCATTCGGTTCAACAACATTGTTGAAAACTTTTCCTGATTATTGTGTGATGCCTCTGGAGTTCTTACATTTGCTCAGACCTTCTTTCTTTGATATATTGATGAGATATCTTTTATTCCAGTCCGTCGGCACTTGTCCTTACTCGCGAATCTTCCTAAATACAACGTGAAGCATATTCGCAGTTACTTTTATGTTTGACTTCAATGCTTCGGCTGGTATACTGTCAGGTCCTGCTGATTTCCCACTGTCCATTTATCTGATGGCCATCCCGATCTCTCCGGTCGTTGGTGGAGTGACAGCTATGAGAATATCTGTGTGCTGTTTCAGTATCTGGTGAATTTAATGGAGCTCGTCTATTCATGATTTATTCAAAGTGTTCTACCCACCTATTCCTCTGTTTTTGAATTTCAGTGATTGGTTTGCCTTCTTTATCCTTGACAGGTCTCTCTCGTTTACTATATTTTCCTGCGAGCCTCTTCGTTGTGACATATAGTTGTTTTGTATTTTCTTCTCTTGCAGCTTTCTCCGCTGTCACTGCTAGCTCTTTCATGTATTTTCTGCTTGTCGGCCCTGATGCTCCTTTTCACTTGCTTGTTTGCTTCTGTGTATTCAGCTTGTGCTTTGATGTCCTCGGTTCTTGTTTGGCTATTGTTAATTGCTGTCTTCTTGTTCTAGATTTCTTGAATCTGTCCAACGTTTCCATAGTGATCCATTCTTCATGTTTATGCTTCTTTCAGTCCACAACATCCACACACGTTGAGGTTAGTGCTTCTTTGATCCCTTTCCATTTGTCCTTTATAATAGTTCCTTCTTCTTTGAGATCTTGTAAGGCGTGGGACCTGTGTTTGAGATCCATCTTGAACTCGTTTGTTAGTATTTCTCACATCTTCCATTGACCTTATGAATTTTTCAGTGATGCAAATATAGTCTACCTGGTTCTCTGTAGTATAGTCTGGTGAGATCGGTATAGCTTTGCGCATGTGTTTGTGGGAGTAATATAGTACCTCTTATAACCATTTTGTTGAAGGCACGTAAATTTTCAAATCTCTTACCATTTCCGTTCCTTTCTTGTAGTCCATGTTGTCCTGTAATATTTTGATACCCCGTGCTGTCCATTCCAACTTTGGCGTCTGGGTCTCTCATAAAGATGATCAGGTTCTTCTTGGGGCACTTTTCTACAATCGAGTTTCATTGTCTAGTGCAATTTGGATGACCGGATCTTAGAGATGTGATTCGTTGAGTTGTTGATAGATTGTCTCCGAATCCAAACTAATATGATAATATATCACTTACCAACATTTGGTATGAATTTTACAATCTGTATATAATTATAAACTAATTCGTTTGCTTCCTCATATTTTCCACAAATTTTTTTAGGTGAGTATTTCTTCCCACCAGTGAAGACATTACGCCCATTTGTTGATCGTATGAAAAAATTTGCAAAGTTTATTGTAAGTAATTAACATCTTTATTATTGAGATGGTGGAGAAGATTTGTAGCTCAGGTGGATGATTTTGGTGGAGTTTTGTTCTCTGAGCTGGATGGTTTGGTCGTGGAGCTTTCATCGTTCTTCTATCTGAAGTTTGTGCTGATGATGTCGTTCAGAAGAACGATGAAAGCTCCACGACCAAACCATCCAGCTCAGAGAACAAAACTCCACCAAAATCATCTTTATTATTGTTTTTTCGTGAAACAGAAATACAATAACACACCTCATTTAGTATAAGTATTCCTGGACACTATTTCACTCGACTGGTTCCCAAATCAAAACACGACTTGGAGTGAGAATTGCAAACATGTCATAAAGTAAACATCATTTTATGTTATGTAGATCTATAAACTTTACACAATAAATTTTTTAGTCTTTTAGCTCATCTACTGGGGTTGCTTGGTTAAAAACTTACCAGTCATCGCATTCCGACATCATCTAGTCTGAAGCATATTCTCATCAAGTCTGTGTTGTGGTAACGTTTCCCTCCCGGATTCTATCCCGTGTTAAACAGCTTCATGATAGGAGAAGTTACCACTAAGCTATTCTTCTGGCATCTGGCTTACTGTTGAACTGAGATGTATTTACAATCGGTATCGTCACTGAATGATGGAAACAAATTTTAATGAGGATCCATGTATTCAACTTTAAGCTTTTTGTATTTGTGATATTAGTGAGTTATACCACTTGGTTTCGCAATCAAATTAGGTCGAGCTTGTATCAAACCTCAGTACTGGTGATTGAAAGTTGAACATCTCAGCCATTAGGGTACTACTTCACAATTAAAACTTTATTCTGGTTGACCAGATCAAGATATGGTATCAGTCAGTAGTACTTTCTACTGAATTGAGTTCAGTATATAAAAATGATAACCAGTTGGTTAGAACTCACGATTCAATTCATGATTTCAGATGTTAAGAGAAATAACGGCGAGACTATAATTTCTGAACGAACCAGGTCTCGGGTTTTGGCGCGAAACTCATTCATTCGGATAAAGAGTTTTGGTATTATAACTGATGTCAGTTCGTGATGAAAACCCTAAATCTCATTTCTAACCTTAATCATCAACTGTAAATCATAATTCTGATTCATCACACAGGTTTACAACCTTCATTTGGTCCTGGTTATTAGGTGTACACTCTCTAGGTCAGTCTAGCGTCGCTCAAAGGTCGTTCATAAATTATGATCTCACCGACATAACTCGAAGTTGGTTGTGGTGTCTCACATATGTATATTAAACCATTCGTTGCTTTGAAACTACTTTAAGTTTTTCACTGTAACTGTGACATTATTTCAATTTCTTTGTTTTTCACCTTGTTCTTTCTTCTGACCCGTTATACTGTTTATATGACGCATGATAATTCTGTGAGAGTTTTCAAATTCATAGATATCTTCATTTATATATCGCTTATGTTCATTTTTACAAAGATTATCAGTGCAAATGGTTCAGGTGAATTAAATTTTGCTGTCAATGTTGAAACGTTGGCTTCTGTTAAGTTAACATTTCGAGGTTTAAAAGCTCGTAGTTGGATGAATTCAGAATCATTTTCAACTGAAATTAATGATTCAATTGATGAAGCTCGTAGTACAATTTGGGATTCTAACGATGTTGATTTGGATAATTCAAAACAGATAAACAATAACGAAGATCCGAATAAAAAATTAGTGTCGATTAGTTTAGACTTACGACGTATCAGTCAGTTATTATCAAGTCCAAGAATTGCACCATCTTGTTTTGTTTGTAGTAAGTGTTTTTCCCTATTTTGATCCAAAATAACTTCATATCCGAATGCATATAGTTTCGTTTGTTTTATAAATTAAACTGACTAGATTAAAATAACTGAAGTCGTACACAAACTCAGTTTTCTAACTGAACACTTGAATCACTTTCCTAAGCATTTCTAACAACCCCCAGGCTAAATCTATGCATTTTGAGCACAAGAGAAAGGGCGCGAAATATGGAAAGAAAGCTCTACTTCAAAGTTAGTACGTACAGAAAATTGAGGATAGTTATAGCATCTCAGATGGTCTTGGGCTTTAAGACGGTACTGGAACTTTAATAAATATAGTAACAGGATAAGCAATCACCCAATGAGAAATATGACCTGTGACTCTTTACCTTCAACATATTTCTGAAAAACTTCTCAGTGTTGATTGGATAAGACTTTTCCCAGCGTTTTATGAGCTTTTTTTTGAGGAATACTCTGGATCTTCCCAACACTGGCGAAATCAACTCCTTAAATCACTTATAATTATAATTGAGATTCATAGCTGTCCCCTGACGTATATATAATGTTGTCAACTGCGATGGAAATCGTAGATCTTTTGTTTAGATCCTACAATGTAACAAATGTCGTAGAATGTACCGCATATAAGACCACTTTCCTGTCCTTTATTTAAAGCGCTAAATGTTTCATTGGATTATGCTCTCATTTACCTTAATCGTTTTGCTTCTCTGTATTGTTGATGTGTGACAACTCAATCTATGCCAGAAATAATGATATTTGAAGCCAAGGGTGTTTCATTGTCTATATCAACACCTAGCTGACAAGTTTCGGGACAAGACGAAACACTCACATTGAATCCTACTTCTAGCCAATACCTAACTTTACTAAAGTCTCCTGAAAACTAACCATCCTTAATCATTATAGCATTTGAAAAACCAAAGTAACCATGTGAATATTGTTTACTTTGTTATCTGTACAATAAATTCAGATGATCGTTATCATCTCAACAACTAAAATATTAGTCTGTTGTTTGCACAGAGACATTTTGCTACAATGTTAAAGTAATTTATTCAATAGAATATGTATTTAACTATTGTGTTCAAGTCATTTTTTTTCTTCTTAACTCTTCTTCTTACAGATATTATACATGAAAAGTTAGCACAATTTCTAGTGTTATTTGACAATTATAAATTGAAATATAATATACCTGCATCTAATTTATAAAATAAATAATTATCCTCCTATATATAATCTCTTTCTATTGTGAATCACCTCACTATAATGAAAGATCACAATATATGGGAGAAATTAATGTCTTATATCAATTAATCTTTACTCAGTTAAGTTTTATGTAGATGCTTTGTTCGTTATATTACACAGTCAAGTTATTATTAATATTATATGAATGCCCTGATACGGCGAAAGGTGGAAAGAGTCAGCTCTTCTTCTCGAAATGCTCTCACATGTTCATGCGTATACAGACCACTATCAGGGAAGTCCTACTCATGGCTTTCTCGTGGGGCGGGTGTTGTTTACGAAATTGAAAGAACGAAAAGCGAGTGTCCGGGTTGGTGAATCTGGATTCCGGTATCCTGAGGGAAAAAACGGCGTATCGACTTATTGTTGATCACCCGCTATCATGGGACTGAATCTTTAGACGTTGTTCCACTGTCTTGTGGATTAGAACTTCAGGTCGAAATCTCTGGGTGTTGCCCCCTAATTAAACCTCTTCCTTCGGTTTGGGCACTCGGATAGTATTCCACTAATCACAATAACCGGATGGTTTATGTGTTTTCGGTGCCGCCTTGTACCAATATTTGTGTGTTTAAACAAATAAATGTTACTATAATTATTTGATTATCAAGTCTCTTATTAAATTATGAAATATTGGAAACATTTTAGAATTTACATTTCAGTTTTGTGTTTATCGTGTATCCAGATATTAAGTTCCAAAGGATATGTTCGAATTTTTAGATTAACAACTGGTCATTATAATAATAACATTGGGTATACACTGACTACCAAGTGAATCAAGAAATACACGATTTATGTTTATGATCTACTTCCGACTTGCGTTCTGGACTCAACTGGCTGGGCTAGACAGAGAAGCGGGACCAATCAGAGCTCTAGGTCGCTCGCCCGTGTTTGCGCGTCTTTGCTCCGATCGATAATTCGCCAACCTCCAATCTGCAGCATTTTCACGTTACAACAGATTGTTAATTTTTCGAAGCAAACAGCCTTTCTGATGACAATTGTTATGTCAATGAATGTGGAAAAAGACGGAATTTATCAATGTCATCATTCCTCTTTAATGCAACAATTAATGATAATTTGGTGGTAGTTTTGAACAAATTATGTGGTGGTAGGGTAGATTTGTCGTCTTAGTGTACAGTAATATACACAATACCCTATTTGCATTTGGTCAGTTAGTAATTAATATACGTGAATAAGTAGCTATTAGAGTCCAAATAAAAATTACTTAAACAGTGGTCTTCCGTGCTGTTAGAAGTATGAGGGTAGTTTTTACATCCCGACTGCTCACACCGTGGAAGGGTTCTTCTGGACGTAATGGAAGGGAAATAGGATTAAGGATGGCCTTAGTGATCTGAGAGCGTGATCGCAGTGCCCAAGGGACAACTGTTTGAGGTCGGTCACACATGACCTTTTTGTGAATATTTTCGTGTTAGCTCCGTACTTATTGAGACCTTACCACCGGAGACAGATGTCCGTGGGATAAGGCGAGGTGTGCATTTTTAGGGTCGTCCTTTTCTAACCCCACCCCTCCTTGTGGGAAAGCAGCATCTCTGTTATACTGGTTGTTTGGAGGAAACACCTTACTGCCGTCACAGCTTTGTACAGTCAGCAGTACGACTTCGCCTTCAGACCTTGGGTTGTTGCTTTTAGTCTTACCGCTCTTCAACCGACCTGTCTGACATGGTAGGACCTTGAGGAACAGTTGTCCCAGCCCGTATAGCTCGGTTGCTTTATCACGATAGGCAAGCCCGACCACCACGTCAGTGTAGCAACAACGGTCGGGAAATTAATTAAAAGAGATCTTTGTTTACATTCGTGTTATTAAGTGCTAATTGTGAGGCAGTGATTGGGATTGATCTACGTATATTGAAAGCTAGAGCGCGTTATGCTTATTCTCAGCTTTAATGATCTGACTAAAAATTCAGTTTTACAACACAAAGACGTTTCTGACACATGATCATTACAACTTGAGGATTCTGGATAACTGTTAAAATACCATGGTCGCTCCATAAGTTATGCTCAAGTTTAACATGAGCTCTCTGACGTAATCAAGATAAAAATTTGTCCTCCTCCTAAGACCCTAAGTCAGGCGGTTCGGACATATTTTGTGCATGTTGCCCCAGCAACAAATATGCATATACTACTGACTCCAGGGTCATTTAGAAAATATAGTGTAATTTTTATTTATTATTTAAACACATAAATATCGGTACAAGGAGGCACTAAGTAGATATGCGCCACATAAATCATTCAGTTTATGTGAGTGCTGCGATACTGCCACGGCGCTCAAACCGAAGCACGTGGTTTACTTAGGGGGTCACTACCAGAACCTTCGACCTAGAGGTCTGGTCCACAAGGCAATGGAGAAACATCAGGAGATGCAGTCCCATGATAGCCGGTGACCAATAATTGGCTCATACGCCATTTGTTCCCTCAGGATACTGAAGCCCATGTGCACCATTGATTTGGAATCAGGGTTTCCCAACTCCTCTAGTTGTATCCCCCAGATTCATCAACCTGGTTAAATTGCTGGACATTCGCTTTCCGTCCTCTGAATTTCGTAAACAATACCACCGCCGTGAGAAAGCAGTGAGTAGGACTTCCCTGACAATGGTTGAATACACGTGGCCATGTGAGGGAGAGCGGACTGTCCTCACCTCGACTGTATCAGGGCACGATGTAACCGTGCAGTGAAGAACAATTGTTTTGAGTTAGCATCTATACGTTCAACACCATCTCTTTGTTAGATAATGTACTTCAATACATTAAAATATCATTAAATATAGTCAAGCATAAAAGCATTTAATAATTCTGGTGTAGTTTTCCACTAGATTCTACAAAATTCTCTCTATAATCCCATTAATAAAAGCAACAGGAAACTAATTAAATAATTCGTATTGTTTTAAATACAGTATATAAAAAAAAATCAAAATGTTAAAAAAATAAGTACACGATGAAATCAGTGGGTTTGAAATGCATCGCCCGTACAAAATATAATTACCGCTTCTATTAATGACTAGACGATTCCGAGACCCAAGATATTAAAGTCTGAAATAAAATAACAAGAAGATAGACTGTAAAGAACATTGATTAAGCGATTAACAATGAAATATGATTCGTTCGTGCACTAAACTAAGTATTTGTAAATTCAATATAATGGACGAGACATAATCTTCTCTATCCACCAACTAGAATGAGAAGTCCAAATTGGATAGAAGCTTCCTTGATAAAGACTGCGGAAGAATTCATTTTGCGTTTAAGGTAATCGATTGAGAAGTTACCGCTGAACACAAACCTCAATTGATTAGTCAATTACAAGGAAAAATACCAATCCACGAAACTGTGCGACCATCTTCTATTGTACTATGGTAGATACCTGTCTCTACCCGACACGATCTAGTGGCTAAGCGCTCGCGCGCGAGACCGACAGGTCCTGGGTTCAAATCTCGCGAGGTGGAATCGTGGGGTGTGCACTTCTGAGAAGTCCTATACTAAGACAAAACGGTCATCTAGTGTTTCCAGATTTTTTACGTTGGTCTAACATCAACCAGCTCATGATCTTAATCAAAAACTTAATAATCTCCACAATTCTATAATGACATGGAAAAATACACTGAAAAATCAAATAATTACTTAAAACTGAAAGTCTGAACACATGAAATACAACAAGAAAAATGCGTCATAAATTAATTGAACACAATTTACGTTGAATCGATATGTGAATTTAAGATTACCTCCCTTCTTTAAACGTCATATTGGATGATGTAACATCCCGAACAAAAGCTTATTCATCATAAAATGTTAGAATAATATGTATTTTGTACTAAATAAAATAAGAAACAATTGTTCATTCTATGATTGGTATAAGTTTGATAAGATCTGTCGAAATGCAAGACGACGACAACAACAATTTTTCTTAGGAAGAATAATACTGAACTTACACAATCTTCAGAAAATCCGAATATCATAAAAAATAAACGTACACATTTTTGTATCTGTGTATGACAAATAATCTTAGACGGCACGTAACAAACTGTCACAATTACAAAGAAATTAGTTAATAAGGAAAAAAGAAAGAATAATTACAGAAAATATACATTACAGGTTTATGGAAGCTAAAGAACACCTAAAATGAACTTTTAATGTGATTCAGAAGTAGAGTTGATATCGAAACGCATAAAAGATACTAGTACTTTTGAAAGAAAAATTAACTTGATTAGTGCAAGAGATTGACATATTCTGGTTACGCATATCATGGACGAATATATTTTCATATGCCTCTAAAAAGGAGATAAGAGTAGAACTAAATTTTTTGCCGACATGAAGATATCTATTTGAGACTAGTGACACATGTGCATTTGGTTGAGTTAGCTCTATATATTTAGCGAACCTTATCCCCGGCAACGGAAATTCATGAGGCAAGTACGTGTAGTATATTTTAGGACCGACAGTTTATGACGTAGCTATCAAAATATATGAGGCTACAAATAAGGAAGTTGTAAACGATTAACTTAGCTTGACGACAAATGCTTTCAACTATCAGTTGTAAGTTTCACTTTTGAACGCGTTTCAAACGTTACGAGTTTGTACAGTTCTTACACATGACTAGATGCGTTAAATTTTTTAAAAAAAAAGCATTAATACTATTAAATACTATGAACAATAACAATTACTGCATACCTCATCATCTGTATTACGACTGACACCCATTACATGTCCACGATTCAAAACAACACTTTGTTCATAACGCGTGTCTAGTTTCGGTATGACAATGCGTCCAGATCTTGTACGATTTAATTGTCTAACATCAACTACTTTACCTAAATATATAAGTATACAAAATAATGGATAATTCCTTAAAGATATGAATGAACTAAATACAAATTTTATTTGGAGGATAAGTAAATAAGCTGTTAGGGTGCTAAACTACAATTTATAAAATTGCACCAGCGTTAGACGGAAGTGGATAACTAAAAATGTTAAGGCTATTTTCTCTAAAGGATAAAAAGATATATATTTTTAATGTTCATTCATTAGAAAGTTCATTGATGTTATTAGTATCACGAACAGACCTAAGTTAAACATCCACAGAAAACTGAGCTGTATTTTTTTTCATAGTTTCACCGTTTGCGGGCGAAACCGAAGGTCCTAGCCTCGATTCCTAGTGGCGGGGTCATGGACGGGTATTGCTGGAAACTCCTATGTTAGAATAAAATAGCTGTCCAGTGCATCCTATTTCCCAATATATGTCTAACTGAAGTCAGTTCAATAACCTACACAAATTAGTATATTTATTATTATTTATTTAAACACATAAATGTTGGTACAAGAGGGCACCAAATATGTATGCGCCACACCATATTTGCGTGTGTGGGCTGCGATACTGCCCGGGTGCCCAAACCGAAGCAGGTGGTTTTCTTAGGGGGCCACTCCCCGAGCCTTCGACCTTAAGGTCTGATCCACAAGGCAATGAAGAAACATTACGAGATGCAGTCCCATGGTAGCCGGTGACCAACGATTGGTTCATACTTCATTTGTTCCCGCAGGATACTGGAGCCCATGTGCATCATTGATTTGGAATCCGGTTAAAGCGCCAGACATTCGCTTTTTGTCCTCTCATTTTCGTAAACAACACCCTCGCCACGAGAAGGCAGTGAGTAGGACTTCCATGGCAGAGACTATATACGCGTGGCCGTGTGAGAGCATTTTGAGAGGGAGGGAGGGCCCACCCCACTCTCGGCCATACCAGAGCATTTGGGGGCTATATAATATAACACAAATTAGTATACTGATAATTGATTTATGGTATTGTTATATCCTCTCAATTTCATGCTTTCTTTATTACTTTTGATACATCATCATGTAGTTTCGTCATATCAGTTACTTCGATGTACTTTACCTGTATAGTCAGTTTATTTTATAGAAGATAAATTGACAAGGTGATCGCTAAAATTGTATTCATATTGTCGTTATTTCATTGAGCTATAAGATTACTAAACACATCTTGCATTAAAATGATTACATAATTCGTAAGTATTCGATTTGTCAGTAAAAATCATACATGATTATAATAAATGACAAATATTTGCAATACCATAATTATATGAACTGATGTGCCATGGTACGGCCGGGAGTGGGGAGAGTCAGCTCTCCCTCTATAAATGCCCTCACATGGTCACACGTATACAACCATTGTCAGGGAAGTCCTACTCACTACCTTCTCATGGCGGAGGTATTGTTTACGAAATTCAGAGGATGAAAAGCGAATGTCCGGCACTTTAACTAGGTTGGTGAATCTGGGGAATACGACTAGAGTAGAGTAGTTGGAAAACCCTGATTCCAAATCAATGGTGCACATGGACTCCAGTATCCTGAGGGAACAAATGGCGTATGAGCCAATTATTGGTCACCGGCTATCATGGGACTGCATCTCCTGATGTTTCTCCATTGCCTTGTGGACCAGACCTTTAGGTCGAAAGCTCTGGGTGTGACCCCCTAAGTAAACCACGTGCTCCGGTTTGAGCACCGTGGCAGTATCGCAGCACTAACATAAACTGAATGATTTATGTGACGCAAATGTATTTGGTGCCCCTATGTTCAAATAAATAAAATAAATAAATGTACTGATCCACTGTAGAGCTTTTACTAAATAAAGTTGACTTTAAGCGTAGTAAGTATTTTCATATCATGTCAGTCTCCACGAGAAGAACAATCTCAACCATCGTGTTATTTTAAATAAGAGAAATGAACACCTAACTAATCGAATAAGAAAATTGCAAGTGGTAGAATCATTTAAAAGTCAAACTTTCATCCCCCAACTTAGTAGTGACTCGTCAAAGCTTAAAATGGTGATTTATTGTTACAATAAAATAATTCCATTAAATAGAACAAATTGAAAGAGGAATTCATCAACCCCATATGGAAGGAAATGTTACATAATTTTTTAAACCTATAAACTCTTTTCCTCCTTAACTCTTAATCAGTACGTAACCTCATTTGTTATTTAGTTTCGAGTCCATTTTATGATGTAATCTTTCCTATTCTTCTACAGACATATTTCCTAGATAACTATATATACGAATGTACAGCTTAAGCAAACGATTTCGTCGAAAAGGAAATTTTCTTCGTCAACTGGACTACTAGCTGACCCATAAACTATTATCGTAGAATACGGTTTACAATGTTTAGATAGATGTGTACATCCAAACTATGTTCTATTCCAAATAAATAGTCTACTATCGATCTGTTATTACAATCAGTTGAATATGAAATCCTGTTTTTTTATAGTTCTTTTATACGTAGTTACCGGATTCCTGTGACCAACTGTTCCATTTTTTTATTCACTTAAACTCCGCTATGGTTAAATAAAATCAATGAATTCCCACATGTTCGAGTGGGTGGCACCGATGAGTACCTTATTGGTCGATGATATCTGGTGAAGGAGTAGGTTGAGACAAAGCCAAGAGTAGTCAAATCAAAATGTGACATCAATCCAAGAGTTCACTGACTGTTGGTCTAATTCATATCGATATCCGTAGGTCACTAGTATCCGATTACGGGTGTCTTTCATGTATTCAGGAACCACCAAATGAGGAATTCTGAGGTCGGTCACGTGGTATTCGGTATACATGGCAAATCCAATGGCGAGAAAGGGAATCTTTATCATCGGAAATGGTTAGAACATGTATTATATGTCGGGGATGCTAGATCACCATAAATCACTCAGTAAACGTCTAGTTTTCTGTAATTTTATGTTAGAGATTTGAATTTCTCGTTTTCATGCCAAAAAAATCCCATTTCACCTTCGGATTGTATTTCCCACTTGGAAGGACCCCAAATGTCACTGGTTCGTTGCCTTTTAATATACAATTTCGTGATGTTTCCCAATGACCATTTTATGTTGTATATATAATGCTTGAGTTGTGTGCCTGCTTGAGGAATACAATTTTCCTTCATCTGAACCAGACCTTCTCCCTCTAGTTAGCAGGGTTGGGACGCATCGGAATAGTTTAGTTTATCTTGTTGATGTGTCAATGATCCTTCGTCCAGTTCGCCGATTTTAGGTGACCTCGTAACTTCTTCAAACATAGCAGTGACTGATTGTGACCTATTACGATCAGTCATTCAGTTAGTCAGCTACAACGTAGGACCAGGCACATATATGCATCAGTCCAAGTTGCCACACCTCATTAGCACAACAAGATGAACACCGAATTCATAGAAGTAGTTAATTCAATGGTAGTAATGTATAAAAGAAAGATTGCATATAAGGATATAGTACAGGAAGAAAGAATTAGTCCATAGAAAGAAAGGTATAAAGCAATTTTAATCTCACGGTTCAAAGGAAGATAGAGAGTGTATACACCGACTCCATTGTGATCGATTCTGAGCCATGTCACCAAGAGTCTCCAACCATTAGTTACAATAATCATGCGAACTTACAGGGGCCTACGCTCCCATTGACTGCAGCTCGGATCAAGTGAAAGATAACTTTTCCAGAAATTTTTCTGAATCTCTTCAGAATGCTAAACTCTTAAACATAATACTCGTAGCAGGTGACTCTAATGCTCAAAAAGACATTTAGGTGGTTATTTTAGTATCCCGATTCAGCGAATAGATAATGGTGATCGTCTGCTGCAACTGTGTTCAGACAGTCGTTTACTTTTAACAAGCACTAATTTTAAGCATAAGGAGAGACATCATCTAACATGACGACCGCCTGACACCAAACCAACGATAAACTCAAATAGACCATATTACCATCAGTCATGGTTGAAGAGGCTCAATAGAAGACTATCGCTCATTCTAACCCTATATTACTTAACATTACCAACTATAAACCATAATTGTTTTACAAATATCAACTATATCATAATTTTACATTACCTATAAACTATTCAGTTCAATGGTTGAATAATTCACTTCATAAACCATATTTTAATTTAACTTATCCAATAAATAATAAACAAATAGAAATGAATAAATCTATACCAATTATTCATAATTCATTATAGAGAAAAAAGGAAAAGAAAAACTGCAACAAATAAAAAAATATCAGAAGGGGTTTTGTGGAGATTTTATAAATTTCACTGATTGAAATCATGAGTCAATTGAAGTTAGACCACCATGGAAAACCTAGAAGCACTGGACGACCGTTTCGTCCTAGTATGGGACTCGTCAGCAGTGCGCATACACGATCCCGCACCCCGTGAGATTCAATTGACTCATAATTTCAATCAGTGAATTTTCTAAAATCTCCACGAACCCCTTCTGATAATAATCATCTGCTCACTAGTGATTGACTTCAAGAGATACTCCTAGAGTTCTGGTGAGAAGCCGTTACCAGTATAGTTCAACCAGGTCTGTTGTGAGATATCAACTCACTGAAGACAATGGTGTACGGTGGCCCAACTTCGTGGATTGGTGAAAGTCAGACATTAACACCGTTGGATGCCGGCTCAGTGGTCTAGTTGATTGAGCGCCTGGCGCGAAACTGATGGGTCCTGGGTTCAAATCTCGCGGGGTGTGTAATCGTGGGTGCACACTGCTGAGGAGTCCCATACCAGGACGAAACGGCAGTCTAGTGCTTCTAGGTTTTCCATGATGGTCTGGCTTCAAATGACTTGTGATTTCAATCGGTGAAATAAAGAAGTAGAAAAGGAGGAAAAAAGTAGTTCACAAACCTGAGGCTGTATATAAACGATAACGTTCATCAATATTATCATCATCATTATTATTATCACTTTGATCATTGAATAAAGATTGATGATTTGATAATAAATTACGTAATTGACTTTTATTTGTTTGTTTTTTAATTTTATGTAAATTAGCTTTATCTGTTAATAAATATTGATTATTTCGTTTTATTGATTTTTTGTTGATTAAATGATGTGGATCATTTAATTGATTTTTATCAATAAATTTCGATTTTCTTAATTTTTTTGACAAATGAATAGAGGTTAATGGTGGATAATGATTTTCAGATACTGAAGTGAAATGAGAAAATGAATCTATTGATGATAAATTATTATTATCATTTAATTCAATTGGTGATTTATTGTTACTATGATTATGATTTGTTTGAATACCTAAAAAGAGAAAAAATAATAATAATGTAATGAAAAGAGAATAGTTTATGTATGATTATTTAAATAATATTGAGATTTGTGGAGAAATAGATATTCATTATGAATAGGTGTCAGTGTTAGCGGGACATAGACTGGATTACAGCATGCTCAATGCACGATTGCTTTGGTGCACGCTTATTGGCTAATTCTTATCCAATGAGCGTTGGCCAATACTTAGTGAACACTCTCGAAATCTCATGTAAAAAACTATAAATATACTAACGTTTTCCCTATTGTACTACTTACTACTTATTTCCATCTAACCTTGTTATTTGGAATATAGTCTCTTTCCTGTCTAATCGTGTTCTGATTTGAGGGACTTGTCGAATGAATCGGTGTCCGAGAATACTAAGCAATAGGAATAGCTGGGTTATAACTGTAAGAGAGAATTACAACAGTTAGAGAAAAGTACTGAGAATAAGAAGGACTAGATGATTGTTTTGTTTTAATTTGAGATTCATTGAAAATAGCCAAATGAGAATATACTTCTTTGTTGATGAATTAATTCGATTTGTTGTGGTAGTTAGTGGGTTTTGTACGAAATTCAAAACAAAGTAAAAATCTCATTACTAAAACATTTAAAATTGCTAAACATAAGAATGCCAAGGAATACAGACCGACCGACAGGTCAATTGAAAGCTCTAAGACTAAAAGCACCAAACCAAAGGTCCGAAGACAAAGTCGTACTGCTGACCGTACAGAGGTGTGACAGCAGTAAGGTGTTTCCTTGGCATGGCAGCGATGCTGCCTTCGCACAAAGAGGGGTGGGGTTAGAAAAGGTCGACCCTAAAAATGCACACCTCGCCTTATCCCACGGATATCCGTCTCTGGTGGTAAGGTCTCAATAAGTACGGAGCTAACACGAAAATTATTCACGAAGAGGTGGTATGTGACCGACCTCAAGCAGTTGTTCCTTAGGCACTGCGATCACACTCTCAGATCACTAAGGCCATCTCTAATCCAATTTCCCTTTCAAGTACGTCCAGAAGAACCCTTCCACGGTGTGGGCGATCGGGAAGTGACCCCCTTTCCATACCCCTAACAACACTCTACCACTACAGGATTCGAATCGACAACTGCATCTCTGTGCTAATGTGGTATGGCAACTGAAATGATGTACGTACGTACGAGGTTCTACGTTGATACTGACTGACTGACTGAATGGTATTAAAAAATATGTAGGATAATTGCTATTTAGTACCATAATTAAATAGAACACTATGACTATGATCTTTATCGGTATACAACATTGTTAATGACTGACAACGACTGTTTAGATATCACTTTCTAACTCCACACAGAACTATTTTTAATTTTTACTACTGCAAGCCCAGGACATTGGGGAAAAAGCATATTAATGCATATTATAACATGTAACTCACTCGTCTTAACAGGATCAGCAAGCTCCAAATCTTTTTCCAAATCACGAAATGTATTCCCAACAAATGAATCTAGGTCTACATCACGATTGGTTGGATTTAATATATGCTTATACTGATTTTCCTGAAATCAAAAAAAGTTCAGCTTTTTATACTGAAATGCCAGTTAAATCCATTTTCTACTACTGAGCTGATAAGAAGCACAAAAACTAATAGATCTATTGTTTTTTATTGAAATCATGAGCCGATTGATGCTAGATCACCGTTGGAAACCTGAAAGCACTGGACGGCCGTTTCGTTTTATTTCGGGACTCCTCAGCAGTGCGCATCCACGATCTCGCTCGCGGGATTTCAACCCAGGGCCTTCAGTCTCACGCACGAACGCTTAACCTACTGCACCACTGAGCCGGCATCCAATGGTGTTAGTGTCTAATATTTTTGATAAAACATTGTTAATATAATAGAATCCTGAAGATTGTATGTTCTGTGCACGTTCAAATCTGAATATGTCTGTAAGCCTGTTTTCAATCAATCAAATTGAGAGATCGCGGGGGATTCTTCATGTGAATTTTGTATAAACCTTAATGTTTTCACGAATATACATTTGTTATACCAGTTTATCGAAGTATTTCTTATTTCCACTTACTCTAATTCTGATTTTGATCAAGCCGATTGAACTGGTTAAAGAATATTAGACAAGCAAGAAAGTAATACTTATCAACAATTGTATTACCAATAAACTTAGATGGTAGCACTGAAAATGATACCCAATTAATCTAACCTATTCTTATTAATAATTAACTTGAAATTTCTTAAATTTTAGGTAGGATCCTATCACTTCTTTTACATAAAGAACTGTTATAGGATGAACAAGAGACTATTTAATGAAAAAGAAAACTATATAGAAATAATTCACTAAGCAATTAACAGTGAAAACTGATGAGCATCAGAAGGGGTTTTGTGGACATTTTAGTAGAGATTCTAGGGGATGCGCACTGCTGAGGAGTCCCACAACAGGACGAAACGGCCGTTCCGTGCTTCCAGGTTTTCCATGGTGGTCTAGCTTCAATTGACCGATGACCTCAACTATTGAAAAAACTGATGAGTTGGTGCTGCCCAAAGTTGTTATAGGGTTAGATTTAATCCTATAATTTAAATGAGATGTAACACTGAAAGATTTGAAATATATAATGAGTAAAACAACCCACTATTTAAGATCGAGAAACATATGAAACAATAACTTATGCAAATAAATAACACGACACTTGACACAAGTGTACGTCAGTTCAGGTTGTCACAGTTAGTATGGGTACAACAAAATGAGATCACCAATCGGAAAAGTGACAAAAAAGCTAAAGAGAAACAAAATGTTGAAAGGAAGAGTATCATCTCTAAAATCTAGAGTAAAGTAAAGAACAAATACAAGCAATTCTGATCAATACGATTTGATTTTCAACAAAAGAGTATAGTTATTTTGTAGAGCTCATTAGCCAATATGGATCGGACTACGAGCGAACGATTCAGTGAAATGGTAATACTGTTTCAATAAGATTACCATCAATTCTTACCGTAATAAAGTTGAATAGGACATTCATAAAGGATACCGTTTATTGTTGTTACCTTGAGCAACGATTTTTACCTATACCATTACATAACAGTGTGACTTCAAGTAGAGATACCTTACTAAAACACGTAATATACTTGTCCGAGATTTATCTCAAAACTTGACAGTACCACAAAAATTCCAAATCAATAGAGAGACACGCCATCGTTAAGTCAAAGAAAATAGGCGATGTAAGGCGTCAGTAGATGCGCCTGCTTTAGAACCCAGCGAAAAATGGAAATCCGATCAATACGCCATAAAAACCTGCCTAGATAATTTGCGATTCAACTACACACAGAAAGATTATAAAATATGTACTTTTGAATATTGTATTACACAGATTAATCCTTTCGTTTTTAATGGATGAGGTTTTGGTTTCTCACTATAAACTGGGATGATCGACAGCGGGAACTAGTCCCCTTGAAGGGCTTTAATCATCACACCGTGGTACGGGCGAGAGTGGAAAGAGTCGGCGCTATATATCCATCTAACAACGAAGGGATGAGTTTACTACATGACAGTTTTCTCCGTTCTACTTTATGGATGTGAAACACATCAATTAATAGTAACGGATATTCGTAGGTATGTCTCTTGATCTTGAATGGCATTATCTATTTTCAAGTACCTTTCTACTCTGTCTTTCCAAGCCATGTTTCCAAGGTTGAGTATTTCTTCTTATCATTACCACATTTCGACCTATTTTGTTATTTTCGCCATCATACCACGCTGGCTTAAGAACTTAGACCAACGTACATCTGTACTATACTCTATGTTAATATCTTTTTTTTCTATCTGTCTTTATTTATCTATTTGAACACATAAACAATGGTACAAGGAGGTAGCAAGTACAATGAGGCCAGTAGCAGTTATCATTTATTTGTGTGAGGGCTGTGATACTGCCCGGGTGCCCAAACCGAAGCAGTGGTTTGCTTAGCGGGCCACACCCAGAGCCTTCGACCTAAAGGTCTGGTCCACAAGGCAATGGAGAAACATCAGGAGATGCAGTCTCATGGTAGCCGGTGACCAATAATTGGCTCATAGGCCATTTGTTCCCTCAGGATACTGAAGCCCATGTGCACCATTGATTTGGAATCAGGGTTTTCCAACTACTCTACTCTAGTCGTATTCCCCAGATTCACCAACCTAGTTAAAGTGCCGGACATTCGCTTTTCATCCTCTGAATTTCGTAAACAATACCTCCGCCATGAGAAGGTAGTGAGTAGGACTTCCCTGACAATGGTTGTATACTCGTGGCCATGTGAGAGCATTTGGAGAGGGAGAGCTGATTCTCCCTACCCTCGGTCATACTAGGACATTTGGGGGCAAGGAACGTCATAAATCTTACTATTGTCCCTCAATCTGACTCTGTCTATCGATTTAGGATTAAAATCGCATGTTAAAACCACTACTTCCGAGCATCTGGTTTTCTGAAGGATATCATAGTTTCCCGTAAAACTTATATTTCACTCTGTCCAAGCTGCGGTCATTGGAGGCAGAAGCAGAAACGACGAGACGACGGAGTATATCCTTATCACTCCGAGTTATTACCATGCAATTGAGGTGAACAGCACATGAGTGACTTACAATAGGAATCCAGTCTAAGAGTACTTGATCAACTTTCAAATTTAGCGGTTTACCTACAGCTGCAAGACCGCGAAAAGTTCCGTCGTATTTTCAGATACACAAAGGGTACATTGTACTGACTCAGTGAGGTTAGCTGAATCACCGAATGAGGATCTCCTATGTGTATTTCGAACACACTGTACTACCCTGTGTAGTTATCAATACGACTTTACTCTCGGATCTCAAGTTGCTGTTTTTAGTTTTACTGAACTCAATAAAATGTGCTCGGCATGGTAGGAACTGGAGGAATGAATATTCCAGCCAAAATAACCCCATTGGGTTATCATGATATGCAAACCCGACAACCAAGTCAAGGTAGCAGTTATAGTAGGGTAACATCTCGATAGAAAATAGAACAGACTAGTTACAACTAAACAAATTCCAAATGTTAACTGCATAAGGTGAAACCTATCATTTCATCGGAAAGCAACATACCAGAAGGAATTCACAACTACCAAAACCTTAATACAGGACGATTAGTTGCGAAAACTCACTTCGGAAAGGGCAATGAAGTTGACACAATTTTTGAAGTTAAATATTGGGAAAACTGAATCCAATTGAATCAATTACTAGCAATGACAGCACGAAATATGAAACAATTACTAATGATGAAAGCAAACAATGAATTACCTTTGGCAACCTATTAGCACAAATAGGACTTGGCATATTTATAGGTTGTACACCAGAACTAATGACTACAGATTCCTTAATCCCTTCGGAAGCAGTAGATATAAAGTAGTGCAGTCCTTGAGTCCAACTCCTCCAATCATGTGCAGGAAAACCATTAGAAAATGCATCAACTATTCCAGGAGGAGGTGAGTCAATTAACAGCATAGGATAAAGTGCACAAAATGTTGTCCAAGAAAATCCCCCACGTAAATAATATATATTGTTACCTTCCGTGCATACAATCTGGCCATTTTCTGAAACACATGACACACGATTAGTTACTACAAATCTACAAGACATTTGATTTGGTCTTCTTTCTATTCCAGCAAGAGAACAATCTCCATCTACTTGTAGTCCGACAGGACACCATGAATATAGTTCAGACGATAATGAACATGGTATATTTAAACGATTAAGGGTAGGCTTTGATGACTTGGGCGTTTTACTGAAAAAGTAATGTCACAGACTATCAGTATACCTACCAATATGCATCGACACTTCGGGAGATGTCTGGGTTTTCATTAAGTTTAGGTAACAGTACAAAAGGGGTTTGAGCAACGTAATCATTTTTCGCAGGAGGGAGACTGGTTGTATATTCCGAACAACCTGGTACTGGATGAAATTTCACAGATGGAACAGACGATATATTGAGAATATTTTGTTTATCTGTTAGTCATTCAATTAGTCAAATTCACATTTACTCTGTTCAAGAAAAGTAAGAAAATCGCGTACAGCTTTCAACATAGATTCTAATGTTTCCATGGCTCTCCTTGAATTGATGGAAAATGTTTTTTGGATGCTTTGTCCAAATATGGAAACAAGTTACATGCAGCTGACAAGCCTAAAAGCCCTAGAAAAAAACCAATAAAATATTCCCAAATAAAATGAGGTATTATCTAAACAATAACTTTACTATGCAACACAAATATTTTACTAATCAAAATCGACTAATAAATTTTCTTCAAAAACACGATTGAGCAGAAAAATCCGTTATATATTACCACGAATAAAACAATGTACAAGGTGATGTTGAGATGACCTGGTGGATCTGGTTGGAAAAACATTAGAAGTTGCCGCTCTAGCTTCGTAACAAGGTTAGAGTTCCGCTACTAGCGAAAATGTTCCCTTGTGAAACACTTTTCAACCGTCAATGAATTACAATTAATCCAGGACCTTTAACTGTTACATTTTGGAACAACATTGTTGGAAATCTGGGAATTAGTTTATACTATCAACTGTATACGTATCTGGGCCAACGTAATATAACTCACGTATCAAGTAGAGGTTTTGTACTCGGCTAACCTCGTCCACGTAATACCAGTTCCCACAAGGCAAATCTTAAGAGTGGGAGTTTGCGTAAAACCCTGACAAAACTCTATTATAAACCAGGATACAATACAAACCAAATTTGTTATATCCAGTTACGTGGTCAAGAAGTTCACAATGATAAGTCATAGATGTAAGACACATCAACAGTTTGTAATGAATAGGAGGTATGCCTCTAACTTATATTTGACAGTGGAATTTTAGCTACTCCTTGAGCACCAATGAGATGACTGGAATGATATTATTTGGTTTGAAGTTAGAAATATCAGCTTTTGAAACCAACTTTGTGACAGGCAGTATTGATGGTATTCGTCACCCGACGAAAAACTCCTCCAGCCAGAACCTAACATTGTTGGCAACTCGACCTCATGAATACACCTGGAATTTCCTGAAAATCAATCTCACTAAACTTTATGCAACCTGCACAACATGGACGTTTTGGTTTTTAATATTATACTAATTAAGAGAAGCACCACTTAAATCTCAATTCTGAATAAGAAAATAACCAAATTTCATCTTTTCACTAATTTGCATCAAAACAAAATGTTAGTTCGTCTCATAATCAATTGCATCTCCTAACAGCCGCAAAATTTGTAGCAGCTAGGGAGTAGATACTTAAACAATCAAACGTCTAAAAACCAGTCTGTTACGTCTGCATCACTGTAAACAATAGCAATGGTGATAACCATAACTTTTTTTAGATATCTACTTTACGAATTTGAACTCCTTTTCTTGAATGTAATCGGTTCCTACCTTATCAAACGTTAATTGTTATATCATGAAAAGATCCTTCCATGTATGACCTTTCAATATCATAAACGCCCGTAACAATTATGCAAATTTTATAACCAAATATCAGCGCAGAAATACTCTACACTTACTCATAACGTTTAAATACAACAACTAATACGAGAAAGTCATGCATAACAATAAACTTCCGTTTTAAAATTCCCTCGTATGAAAAACAAATTCGGATATCTACGTAACCAGCTTATAAAAGCCAGTTGATTTTTTGTGCTCGTTTCCCATTGTTTCCGTACAGTTTCATTTAATTTGTGGTTTTAAGTGGTAGTGGTAGTCTAGCACCTCGATTGCACAAGTAAATTAGTGATCACAGTGCGAGTAAATGGTTCAAATGGTTCAAATGGTTGTGGACGGAATAGAAGAAGCTTTCGCTTAACAGGCTTCCGTGTCTAGTAGCAGGGGATCACCAAATCCTCCAGGCAGGAACCTAGGCATGTTGACAATAAAAAAGGAAAGAAATTAATAAGTCATAGTGCGATAATATCCTTAGTCCTTAAGAATAGATCAGGTTGCCTCTTAAAGGACTCCTGGGAAGTCGCTTGGACTAGCTCGGCCGTCAGCGAGTTCCAGCATTTGAAAACTCTTAAGGAGTAGAAGTTATGTCTACAATCCGCTTTGCTATGTTGTGTCTCCAGTTTCTGGGTGTTACCTCTTAGTTTAGTGTTGGAACTAAGCTTAAGTAGGTGTTTGAGAGAATGTCCAGAAGTGTCAAGGATACTATAAGCCATCAGAAGGTTACCTCTAAGACGTCTATACTCTAATGGGTAAAGGTTAAGTGAGTGGAGGCGCTCTTCGTAAGGTTTAAATTTGAGTCCTCGAACTGGTTTCGTGACTCGCCGTTGGATACGCTCCAGGATGTCCTCATCCTTTTGGAATGAGGGGGAAATACTATGTTTCCGTACTCTAAATGGGGACGAATAAAACTATTGAAGATTATATAGAAAGTTCTTACGTCAAACTGGCCAAAAATGCGCTTCGACGTTACCAGTGCAAGGTTTGCTCGGAAGGCATTCTTATCAGAGTGAGCGTAAAACTTTTATTATTATTATTATTATTATTCACAAACATCTTATGGGTACATAAGTGTTGTGAAGAAACCATTTCGGGTTTCTTCAAAAAAATGCAATAATACACATTTTTCAATAATGTCAGCATTCTGCTTGCCATTAAAAAAAATTTGAGCAATAATAGTAGAATATTAATAATAATAAATCGGGTCTGTGCAATTGAGAAGAATATTGGATTGGGTTTAAAGAAGGAAATGGAGGAAATAAGGGAATAAAAATAAAGGAGACGTGAAATACGCAAACGGTCTAATAGGCGTGTTTACGAACACAGAACAAGAATAAACGACTATGTTTGTATCGTCAAATTAGTAACAAAAAACAATTAAGAAAAAATAAATTATAATTGCAGTAAGATATGACGCTAGAATAATGTTTGTGCAGTCATAGTTTGCAGTGATGCGATGAAAGTCTCAATCGAGTGAAAAGGATAATAAAATATCAATATGTATGAGACATATATGCATAGTGAAGATAAAACGGGTCTGAGAATTTAATTTAAGTGTAACACAAGTTATCGTTTTAACTGCAAACTTCGTAATCTTAAGAATATTTATTTAGAGGGAAAGAATGGAGTGAAAAGAAGTGAACACCTAGTGAAAAGTTTTGGTCCATGATAAGAATAATAACTGTGTAATGAATATCAACCTCAGAAGGAAACCAGCAATTGCAAAAATAAAATAAAAATCCTTCAATGCACTCGGATGAATACATTTAGATTTATGTAACAGTATACAGAGTGAAACCGGATATTAGTATAAATATTTGTGCAATAATAATTAAGATTGATGCTATGAAAGTCAAAATTGATTTTAAAGGACAATCTGGAGTTAAATATGTTTAGAAGGATAAGAAGATACAAAAAGAATATCTAATGTGTCAGGGAACTAATAATGATATTAATAACGGAAATAATGATAAACACGAACATAATCAGATTTCATATATTAAGATAAATAAAAATAAAACAGATGTGGAAAGATTTAAAGGTTTTATTTTGCTTTTCAAGCAATTAAATGGATGACGGACCTTGTTTGTATAAATCATTATTGAATACATTGATATTCAATAGGTGACATAATCCACTTTCGGATAGAAAATCGTCAAGGAGACATTTGAACCGGGTTGTAGTTTCACTGCAACGGAGGTTCACTGGCAGTCTATTCCACATGGTTGAGTAGCGAATAAGGAAAAAATTCTGACGTAAGTTTGTGTGGGTTTATGGAATCGCTAGAATATTCTCCTTATTGCGTAGATTGTGGGATGATATCATAAGGTATGAGGGGGTGGATACCGAAGAGTAGGAAATACCGTTAATAAGCCGGTAGATAAAGACAATATTTAATGTGATACGTCTGATCCAAAGAGGTTCTAAGTTGAGTTGTTGACATCTTTGGTAATAGTCTTTGTTATCGGAATACCCCAGAATAGCTTTGGTGAACTTGTAGTGGCATTGGACAATAACCGCACAATCCACAAAGCTGAACGTGAGACTACTCAGAAAATAGATATTCAATATTTGACGCGGATAAATACCTAACGATGGAGAAGGCGCGAACAATGAATTGAATGGACTGGGTTTAATCGGATGGCATGGCTCGGCCGTGCAGGCGTGGTCCATCTGAATGTTATCTTATATCTTCTATTCGTATTAAATATATTGTTCCTTCTCTAGCCTAACGTTGTTCTACATCATGTATTGGTAATTGATACGATACAGTGAGTTGGCGTAGTCGATGGTGTGACTTCCACGTAAGATCTTATAGATTAGGCAGTTATATCATGACAAATCTACAAATTTAGGATTAGGTTTATTATTAGAGCAGTACTAATATCATAGTAGACCATAGTTCTACATTGGTAAGCCCGACTAGAGAAACGCAACCTAATATTGTTAATCTTATTTCCATTCTAAATTTCTTGATCTATTTTGTATTTATGTTAACCCAATATTCTAACAGTCCTGATTAATGCTCAGATGTATTATCGTAATGTTAGATTGATTAGTTCTCATGCATACAAGCTCAATCGATAATAAAAACTGGTCGTCTATATTAACTAATTAGCTTTGATGGTTCGTTAACAAGCTTTAATAGCATTTACATGCTTCAGCGACATAGACTTGTTTAAGCATCAAGCTCTAGCAAATATGACCTGTAAATAACGCAAATATACATTGACTAACAATGCAGCAAGGACTAAATAGTTACCTGGATCTAATATTCAGTGTTCCTTATCTTATCACCTCATCCTGTTTTAAACTATGCACTATCCTGTAATATCTTTTCTTCCGACCACTGCCTGCCTAATTTCAAATTCTCCAGTTCCATTGCCAAACAACAAGGATGACACTTCTCTAAAAACATACGGTGAGTTTCAGCCATAAGTTTTCTGCAATCATAAGGTCATTTTAGATGGCTCGTTCAATGGTGACCGCACAATTATCCTTGGTAACCTCCGGCGCGCGACAATCCCATCCAATTCGGTATCGAACCAACATCACGTTGATTCTGGTGGGAGAGTAGTGTAGTGGCATTGGACAATAACCGCACAATCCACAAAGCTGAACGTGAGACTACTCAGAAAATAGATATTCAATATTTGACGCGGATAAATACCTAACGATGGAGAAGGCGCGAACAATGAATTGAATGGACTGGGTTTAATCGGATGGCATGGCTCGGCCGTGCAGGCGTGGTCCATCTGAATGTTATCTTATATCTTCTATTCGTATTAAATATATTGTTCCTTCTCTAGCCTAACGTTGTTCTACATCATGTATTGGTAATTGATACGATACAGTGAGTTGGCGTAGTCGATGGTGTGACTTCCACGTAAGATCTTATAGATTAGGCAGTTATATCATGACAAATCTACAAATTTAGGATTAGGTTTATTATTAGAGCAGTACTAATATCATAGTAGACCATAGTTCTACAAACTTTCTTTGAACACCTTCGATTCTAATCAGGTCAGTATGTCTACAATTACTGTAAACTAAAATACCATATTCAAGAATGGGTAAGATACATTTTCTGTATAGTAACAATCTCGATTCGATATTATTGAAGTTTATCATTATCAATCCGATCAGCTTTCTAGCTTTGGATACTTGAGATATAATGTGTTCAGAAAGTTCAGACTGTTGCTATATCTTAAACCCAGGTCACGAACAGTGTTAAGAGGTTTGAGTGTATGTGTCTGTACAGTCAGATTTAAGTTAAGACAGCGACCAATGTGAATAAATCCACTTTTGTCAACATTAAGTGGCATATTCCACGAAACAGTTCATTCGTACATCTTGTTTATTTCCTATTGGATTACCGCTGAAATATAGCTTTCTTTCGTGGGAGAAGAGAATGAATAAACTACTTTCAGGTCATCAGCAAAAAGAAAAGGCTTACCATACTGAAAGAGGGAGCACACATCATTGATAAAAAGGAGAAAGAGTAATGGACCAACCACACTTCCTTGTATAACCCCACTGGTTACATTCACAGGTTTAGAGTAGCAAGATCCAAAGCGAACGATTTGGCTACGTTCTTCTAAAAAAGATTTGAGCCAAGATAAAAGAGGATTCTGTATGCCAAATGAAGAGAGTTTTAAAAGAAGAAGTTTGTGTGAAACACTGTCGAAAGCCTTACTAAAAACGAAGTAAAGAATTATCACTGACTGACCAACATCTCTTCTCTGGGTAATTTGATCAAAAGCTCCAGGTCCCATATTCCATAGATAGATTGAAAAGTTTCAAACAAAATAGTGGAAATTCTCTACTTCCATATTTCACAAATGATGAAGGTATCCCGTCAGGTCCACCATCATAAGACTTTTTCAGGGCAGCTATGGCCTGCTTGATGTTGGAGGGTGTAAAATCAATTTTCGACAGATGTCTGGATGTCAGCATTGGAAATGTAATGATGGAGTTTTCAGTTCCAGTTTTGTAGCACTGCGAGAAGTGCTTGCTGAATTGTTCGCATATAGTATTCGGGTCGTTAACAATGCTTCCGTTAACTATGAAGAATTTAGTCGTGCCAAGGGAATTTGACTTTACACGGGATTTAAAAAGCCGAAGTATTGATAATTCTGGGCTT